ACTATAGAAATGTTTCGATTTTATTGTTGACAATCTAATGACATCACCTGTTTTAATTTCGCAGAAATCAGTGTCATAATGTTGTATAGTATCTCTATCGTCATCTGCATGCTGGTTGACTTCATGAATTCGTTTTTTCCAAATTTTAGGGATCGTCTTTTTGAGATCGTATACATAAAGTCAACCAATAAGGAATTCGAACCAAATACATTACAAATATGATCTTACATTACAAATATGATCTCCTGACGACGGATAGTCAACCTGTTCGAAACGTCGAGCCACTCCCGCCACTCATTCTATCCAAGCTAATATAAGAAAGATAACCAACAGTCTTTTTCAAGACTACAGAAATAGTCCTTTTCAGGACTACACACCCTCAAGAAAGATTACCGAGAGTCCTTTTCAAGACTCCACAATCATCTCTCTCTCTCTCTCATGGTGCACACGCAAGCCTACTGTAAATATGATATCGTGTCTTAAAATGACGATTTTCTACAATATTATCAACTAGTACGATACCATTTTGAAACCATTCTTTAAAAAAGGGTTAACTATCAAATTGTATGTTACTGTTGTACCATAACACTTCATTTCTAACATCTTCGACATGCAAAATGTCAATATATTTAAGTTCACTCCAGCATACGAGACAATTAATATAAAACTCAGGTAGATTGTGTTTTGGAACATAAAATCAAAATATCTTTGCGAGAACAGTTTGATTTTAAAATCAATGACAACGGACATATTTTCTCCAATCCAGAATTTAAACATACATTTCCATTGTGTGTCATGGAACTTTAGAACTTTGATAACCATGCTAAATGCAGGGATTGGAACTTGGAATCCAAGACTTTCTTAGGCTTGCATTTTCAGTTGCATTTATTAAGACTGATCTCTTTATCTTGTCTCTTTTTAAATTCCAAAGGAAATTATAAATCAATTTGTTCAAGTCAACAATTAGTTTGTGAGAAAAAGGGTAATACCGAAGCAACATAGATAAATTATGAAATTATAAGTGATTTAATTATAACAACTTTACCATAAATGGTTACATTTCTTATCTTCCAGATATTTAGGATAGATTTAACCTTTTCAAGTTTCACTGACCAGTTCAATCGTTCACATTCTTTTTTAATTTCTAGTTAGGTATATACCTAAATACTTGAGTGGATTATAATTCCAACTTAATGCTTGTTATTGTTATTGCATTTGTTTTCATAACATTTAAGCTTGGCCCAGCAAAATGTCCAAACCTTCTGACTTCTTCAACTTAAATGTTAGCAGATTCAATGGAATTAAGTAAAAGGACAGCGTCATCAGCTAATTGCGATATTTAAAAAACTTTCGACATACCATTATTTTCAGAGACGACCATGATACCATGTATTTCATTATTTTGCTTGATTTTTAAGGCCATTACTTCAACAACAAGGATGAATAGTAACGCAGAAAGCGTCTTTTACCTAACACCTTCGCTAAGATCTTGTAGTCAGTGTTCAGTAACGATATTAGTCTCCAGTTGTCCAAACTCTGTTTATCCCCTTTCTTACATAACAAAGTTAGTATAGCTAATCTTTGGGATTCAGATACTTTCTCTCGTTGAAAACCCTCATTTATACATACAGTCTTATAGCATATATTTTACGTCGTTCCCAAAACATTTAAAAATTCCACAGATAAAACATCACTGCCAGGTGACTTGTTGTGTTTCATGGATACAATAGCCTGCCGACATTCTTCTTCAGTAACCAGTCCTTCACATGACATTATATTATAAACATATACTTAGTAAACAATCTGATATTGTGCAATGTGAAATATAAAAATAAGTCGTAACTGAAACGGGCACAGAGCTGAGAATGTTCTCTCTATGTTGTGCCGCAACGAATAAAGGATTACAGTCCTGAAGTAGAGTCTCATTGAAAAAAATTAGTAGGGTCTATTATTTATTTAGCTTAATATAAAAATTGAAGGCTAACCCTGGTGTTCGACAACACACGTTGTTGGATAAATACCCGAGTGGTGTTGAATTCTCCATGGAGAGCCCACTACTATGCCTCTTTAACTTAATCGTTATTCCTTCTCTGTATTCCTTTCTCCCCCGATCCCTCCCCACAGTGAAGGATGATATTGTTTTTCAATCTCGATGTTGATTTAAGAAATATACTATACTATATCATCTCCCTCTCTTCCTTATCACTCTCTTTTCTCCCATATATATATCTATTATACCCTTTTCCCTAATGTACGCACATCAGTCGCATATACTATCACCGTAAGTTGTTTTGCAAAGCCAGGCTTCAGAGCTAGAGTACACTGTTTAAAACAAACCCTCACTTCCAAGATCAACAAAGAGGAAACAAACGTTCGAAGAGAAAGTTCCTTTCTTCGCTCGTTTGACAGGCCTTTATATCTCCTTCCAATATATCTGATGGACCGATGTCACCCATCCCCTCACAATTAATCCCTTCTATTAAAAATTCCGCGTTTGTCTTTTTGCTTTGAACAAGAATGTGGTTGACTAATTGTTTATAATAAATCTTTTCTTTTTAATTACTGCTTAAAAACGTATTTGAAAGATTTCGTCTCAATAATTTTCTTTGCCATAAAATGAATGCGTTTCGCAATTTGCATACTGTGTAAAAAAATTACAGGCATTAAATGCCGAGTAAATGTGACTATTTTTTAAAATAAATTCCCAAGTCATTTTGGATAAACGAATATAATTATATCTTTCGATTTCGAGTAATAATTGAAACACTTGTATATTAGGTATTATCTGAATTCATGGGCTTTTTAGAGTATTCATATCCTTCCCACTGGCGTTTTAAAATTATATTTCTTAATTTTATTTTCATGAAATATATGCGAATTGAATAATTGGTATCATTATTCATAGGACTGGGGCTTAAGCATCGACTATTCGCTCCATTGCAATCCTGTCATATCACGGTCGCTTACAGGCCCTATCTCACTGAGCTGCGAATGCTTGCGAGGGTAGCACATTTTGGATTCGCCAACTTTCCTGACGAATGTTGGCGAAAAATAGCGACTTTTAGCGATGTTTAGCGTCGATTAGCAACATTTGAGTTTTTTTGCGAAAGGCAGTTGGTGTCTATTAGCGACTGTAAGCAAATGTTAGGGACAGTTTTTGCGAAGATAAGCAACTATTTGCCAATTTTTTGCCACTAATTGTGAATGTTTGGGACCTTTTGCTAACTCTTGGTAAGCAATGGATCGATTTTGATATAGGAACCATATGGTAACGTGGTCGCTAGCATTGGCGAATCAAAAAGAACTTAAGCGACACCGTCTTACAACCGTTTGCAAAGGCTTACGACTGTTTTGCAAACGCTCGCAACTGTTTGCGGAAAATAAATTCGCAAAGAAATTTTGAACGTGTTTAAAATTTCTTTACGACAAGAAAAACTGTTTACGAAAATGAAAACTGTTTGCAAACTCACTTGCCATCTTTTACGAACCCTGGCGAAACCCCAAATTCGCTACGTTTGCAAGCATTCCCTGCTCAATGAGATAGGGCCTTTACCAATGTCCCAAAGAATCCCATCAATACCACTGGAGAACATGAGTAAATTCGCAAAAATATCCATGCAGAACCAAAACAGGTGCTGGTATAGGCACAGGCCTTGCCAATCCTATGCTGTCAGGCTTTACGAAAAATAACATACGTTTTCTCAAAAAGGGGCTCGATTGCTGGATAGTTGATGATCTAAATGGCAAGATTTGAAGAAAAAAAGGAAGGTTTCACCAAGGGTAGAACAAAATTGAAAACCTTCTTCTTCTGCAGAGTTAAATATCTGGTATCGATCAAAGTGGAAAGAGTGGGAGGAATATCGATTGCAATTTTTCTTCATAATGAGATTACCAGAGATTGAGAAAAGCTTTAAACGCCAAAGAATTCATCATCACATCAAACAGATATTTCTGTATTGTTTAGTTACTATTTGGAGTTTATATACCAAGTTGGGGAGAAAAAGTTCTATATGGAGGTTAATAGTTATAATATATGCCTGAATGCCTCTTTTTTTGAGCGTTTAAAGTATATTATATTGTTTTTAATGGTTGTTTAGGCAATTAATGTAATTTAGCGATATTGTTGTTGTCGGTTTTTGTTGGTCTCCATTTGGGGTGCAACTCCAAGAAGGGAACTTTTCCAATCGTGGAGAACATGAATCGGAAGTGGGATTTTCCTGACCTATCTTCTATGGCAACTTACTTAATAACATTATTCGTACCATCTCCACTAATACGATAATCATTTTACAGCATGCCCTTGCGCAACTATACAGTGCGTCCCAGAAAAAACGAAACCGAGAACTATCGATGATTTATTATAACTTAATCACAATTATAATTGATAAATGACACATATTTGTAAATCTTAGATCTTCCTCTTTCATTTGTTGCAACTCATATAATGCATATTGCACGCATGAGGGATTAAAATGAATTTGAAGAGAGGAAACCAAAAAGTCATTTGGTGGACGGTATCTGAATTGAAAAAAATGAGCTAGTAATAACAAAGTTCTGTTTGTTTAAAGTAGTGCTTGCATTTCCATAATTGTATTAAACGAATTCGTTTTTCACTGGCTGCCTGCCGTAGCAACAAACGAAATTATCAAAAGACTTAACTCCGTTTCGTTGACAATCAGCCGTAGACGAAAGAATGCATGTATAGCTGATTGTCAACGAAACGGAGTTAAGTCTTTTGTACAAATGACTTTTTGGTTTCCTCTCTTCAAATTGATTTTAATCACTCATGCGTGAACTATGCATCATATGAGTTGCATCAAATGGAAGAGGAGGATCTAAGCTTTCCAAATATGTGTCATTTATTAATTATAAATGTGACTATTAAAGTTATGATAAAACATTGATAATTCTCGGTTTCGTTTTTTTTAAGACGCACTGTACTATGAATCATTAGAAACTTTTACACGATAATCAAACATTCTTTTATTTTCATAGGTGGAGAAGTTTCACGAAGAGAAATGGGGATAATGTTCATCGTGTTTGGGTTATTGGCTGTCTCTGTTCTGCCGTATACATCTGCACAAAGTAAGTACCTCGGAGAGGACTTAAAGTAGGCGTTTCCCTGGTTCCCTACTTACAAGCATACACATACTTTCTTAGCAGTCAGGTTAAACAAAACAATTGGAAGTTATTCAGGAAGAAAATATTATTTATACCCCGTCCTTTATTGCGGTAGACTTTTTAATTTGTGAATATTTTGTACATGGATGAGGATATGAAACGGCATTTAAAGCCCATCTGCACTAGTTTGGACAGGAGGGATTAAACCTCCCACTTGGTCACTGACAGGTGGTTATCTCATCAACTCAGCTCTCAATTAACATAAGAAAAAGAGGATCATGGGGGACCAATGGGCACCGCTTAGGCATTGTGTTCTATATAGAGGGAGTAAGTAGCTACAAGTAGTGCAGTGGGGCTTTAATACAAATATAATTACAATTTTTTTTGTCATGGGGGGGGGGGGGCAGGAATTCGATTAAATCTAGTCATTCCTTAGTTTCCTGTTTTTTATGCATGAGATAATTTTGCTTAATTAGCGGGATTGCAAACAGAATATAAGGCGTTTCACTTAAGTTACAGAGCTACAGAAACCTTTTTCGTATTTGTAGGTAAACATGGAACTGGGAGGACTTTTCATGCTTCTTGAATCTGCGAATTAGGTCCGCCCTCTTTAAATACGTTATAAAGATGTCTCTCTCCGTTTCATTTCCTTTAGATATGCTTTTATCCAATCCATACAAAATAGATTTGACTTCCTTATTGCTCTCAGATCAAGATGATTGCGGTGAATACGGCGAGAACCCCTGCAAACATGGAGGAAATTGCTACACTGAATTCGGATATATCCATTGCGAATGCCTCGTAAATTCTTATGGAATCCTGTGTGAGGTTTACATTCGTAAGTTTAAATGTTCGTATATATGCTTGGTGGCCGTACATTATTGCTAACCTCAGATGGAAATAAGTATGATTGTACATAGGTAATATCAGACATATGATTTTGTAACGGTTTCATACTTTTGTTGGGTTTAAAGTGATCTAATAAAACTCGTTCAAGTTCTGAAGTACATTACACTTCATTTCCTAGAGATGGGATGGGTGCGCTGCGGCTACAGTAGAGAGTTCATGAAATCAGACATCCGTCTTCCTACACCTTGGTCAAAGTAGAGAAACGTAGATAAATGTCTTGCTTAAGTATATTTACCCAGCAATAGGCATTCGCAGCCCGTACCTTATGGTTCACAGTCCGGAAACACCAAGTACAACACAACACAACACCTCTGCTAGCCGAGCTCTCATAATGTTTCCCTGAATATAAATATATATAAATATATATTTATATATATCAATAATTCCAAGAAGTACCTATTTCAAAATTAAGACCAACATTTTTTGGCTAGAGCACTATACGATTTTGTGTGTGATGTGTATGCTTAATTATGGGTGAGGGTCTTTTCAAGCGGATAGCACTAAAAGTATTGACAACATTTTATGCTTGAGTGAGCACTGGCTAGTTTCGAAAAGCTCGTGAAAATTGGTCTGCGCAAAAAAAAATCAGTCTTGATTTTGAACAAAGTGCTGTTTTCCGGTTTACACTCTCATCGTTTTGTACAGAAATGTCACACAAAGTCCCATTTGTTCTCACATTGACTGTGCAAGGACGACTAATTCACTCAACTCATTTTCAAGGCGTAGAAAGCACCGTTTTATATTTTGTACATATCTTTATTGTGACCTTGTTCTCTTCTCCAATTTTCAGCGCCGGGCTCGACAAATGGACTCGATACCCTCAAGACATAGCACCACGAAGAGATAGCTAGACAAGAATATAATAATTCAGTAAGGCAATGGTGTAGCGGTAGCGGGGGCCTCTGGCATTACTGGGATGGGCAGTAATTTTATTAGATGGATCAAGTATAAATTGTCGAGGCTACCTACGAGGGGGAACGAGGCAGGAGACTTTATTTACTTCTTTTCACTTTTCCTTTCCCTTTCTCCCTTTCGTTTGTTGTTGTATACATCGTGCCCATTGCATCTACTTCATTGGAGAGATTTGTTCTTCACAGTCATGAGAAAGATATCAAATGCGGGAAATGGGATACATGTATATATTAAACCTCTCCATTTTTTAATATTTACCACGTGACAATGTGGCAGATCTCTAATTGGCTCAAAATACTGAACCATAACTTGAATGATAATTTTTTTCACGCTGTTTGTTATAATTGACATTGAATAGAACATATCAAACTAGTTTACCCAATTCACATGAGCTACAATGATGAGACTAATTGGTCAGGTTTGTTTTCCCCTTCAATACTGACATTATTACAACATATTGCTTTTTCTATTACGGTAATGGGGTTTGATCCTTTCAACAATCCGTCAATATGTCAAAACATCTGGAATTTAATAGAAAATATACAAGATAATACCAACATTTTCTAAAAATTTTTGATTTTTATAACATATTTATAGTGAGTATTCTGAAATTAGAGTGTGGCGAATGTACACTCTCTCCTTTAACAATTTTAATGTGTATGGTTCATGGTTCATATCCTTGACTTTGAATCGGGAGGTTGAGGGTTCGAATCTTTGCCGGATGCGTACAATGTACCCTCGGACTAGGCATTTGATCAATACTTGCCTCTCTCGACGTTACTATGAACATGGTACATGTATAAGGAAAACGATTACGTGTCGGGTTTTTTTTAACGAAGGCTCATATTCACAAGTATTTCGATGACACATAAATGTGTTATCAAGCTTTATTTTTTGTGTACTATAGCATATTTAACTCTACTCTCGATCTATTTTTCGTTATTTCTTGACTTTGACATAATCCCCTTGATCCCTTTTCTTCTTTTTTTCTTCTTCTCATATATTCCTACTTGACCTCTACACTCAGAGAGCAATAACTCATTGATGTCTCGAATTGATGTCATCTTAGGTTTGTCCATATTAGATCACCCTCCCATCGGTGGGTTGATTTTTGCTCATATGATACATATTTTCACACATACGGTGAGTTTGTTAGCTCACCCGGTGTGATGGGGATGTGCGCATCTTCGGGTATACTTGTTGTACTCATCCATGCTGTGGTCGATGCATCGTTGGGTAGTTGTTCTCTGAGAGTATTTTGTAAATAGTTTCATATATTCCATATTTGTTGTTGTATTCATGAATCAGTTATCTTTGTCACATCACATGAGGGGGCCTTAACTTATAACAAGCTGTGCTTCAACCAAGGTCTCCTCGTCTTTCTTTATTCTACATTGTACTGTTATGATTATACTCTATTATATTTTTTCACATGTGTTTTTCTGGAAGACAAATAAACTTGATACTTGATACTTGATACTTGATACTATGAACATGGTACATGTATAAGGATAACGATTATATGTCGTTTTTTTTATTTTTTAACGAAGGTTCATATTCTAGAATGCTCGTTATTCCTCAAATTCATTCCGAAGGTTTGTAATTCTGAAGGTTCGTTATTCTCAAGGTTCGTTGCTCCAAAGTTTCGTAATTCTGAAAAACGAAATAGGGCACACAATTCCGGAGAACTGGTTCATAATTCCGGAAAGGCGATAGAAGTATAGAACCACGTGTAATATTTGGAATCAGGAACCCTTTATATTTTATTTTCAGAATTATTATCCTTTTTTAATTTCCCAATTATGAAGCATAGGAATAACGAACCTTCAGAAAAATGAGCCGTCGGAAAATCGAGCGTCATCTCTCCCCCTAGAAAACCATGATTCTTGTTAGTGATTGAACTTGAGTATCTTCCATTGTGTCCTCTCTGGCAGGACATAAAATCTACATTTGCCATTCTACACCCATGGCAAGTGGGAAGTTGTTCTCTGAGAGTATTTTGTAAATAGTTTTATATATTCCATATTTGTTGTTGTATTCATGAATCAGTTATCTTTGTCACATCAAATGAGGGGGCCTTAACATATTAACAAGCTGTGCTTCAACCGAGGTCTCCTCGTCTTTCTTTATTCTACATTGGGCTGTTATGATTATACTCTATTATATTTTGGCACATGTGTTTTCTGGAAGACAAATACACTTGATACTTGATACTTGATAAATGGGTATTACCTTGTAAAATTATTTCTTTCGAACACATGTGAGCCTATTATGGTTTCCGTAGCTAATGCCGGGATACTTTTACAAGGTAATTTTCTTAGCACTTGGGAGCGCATAGAAACGGAATATTGTAATGTGATATGCGCCATATAAAACGGAATGGTATCATTGTTATTACTACGTAACAATGTATTGTCTTTGTATTGATATTCCACATAGTTATGCCTTTTCAATTGTACTTGTTGAATACTACTTGTTTTTCTTTTCTGGGAAAAAAATAAAGCAATTATAAACAGCTGATTGCGTTTTGTCCATTGTTTCATGATTACAATATCACAATTGTTGGTATGAAATGATTTGATATATTGTACAGTTTAAATAATATTGAATGAGGCAACCTAATAGGTAAAGAAGTGGCGATATGATATGTTCATGTATAATTCTTTGTGTGCTCATTTATAATATATTAGTTGGATAGGGGAAATGCAAATCGTTCAAAAGTACAGTTTACATTACAGGCGATAGGTATCAGTTTTACCCAGATCCTTAAGGTAAGCCTCAAGACTTAAAGTAAAACTAAAGCCAATCATCATCATCATCATCACTATCATTATCATCATCATCATTATCATTGTTATTACTATTATTATTATCATTATCATTTTAATCATTATCAGCATTATCTGCATCAGCATCATTACTAAAACTATTCTGTTAATACATGCGGCTGCTGTTGCTGCTACTTGCTTTTATTGTTGTTCTTGCTTCTTCTTCTTCTCCTTTTCCTCCTACTTATCTTTCTTCTTCTTCTTCTCCTTCTTTTTTCTATCTTTTCTTCTTCTTATTCGTCTACTTCCTTATCTGCTTCTTTATTTTTCGTCCTCTTCTTCTTCTTTTCTTCTTCATTATCGTCTTCTGAAAATCTCACTTCTGCTTCAAAGTGTCTTGTCTTTTCTTTCAAATAATTAATTTATTACATCCAATTCTCTGTTTTAAAATTGAGACATCTGATATATACATAGAGATCTACATGTATGTGAGATCTGTGAATAGATGACATCGTCTTGGACTGACGATGTAAAGATGGGTCCAATTCCCAATTTATCATTTGATACATAAGTTTATCTATTTTGTAACACAGCATTAAAAATAAAAATGTAGCTCACTTATTTATCGTAGCAGCAGGCAGTTGATATCTTTAGTATAATTATGAATTAGCCCAAATTAAATTAATGCTGCACCTTTATTCAGTAATGTGATTTTGTACAGTAAACAAGGAGTGGCATTGATATTCAATTATTATTCAAGAAAGATGGATGGTCTATCGATCGCATGTCCAGACCTTGACCTCGGGAGAAACAATATTCCACAAGTTTATACTTTCAAGAATCCACCTGTTTTAGGGCCTTGCTTTGCATTAAGGGGTGGGGTAAGACTCACTAATGAACTATTTTGATAATTTCCTGAAAATTCTTGCAGAAGTCAGTGTTAAATGACATCCTCCTTTACTTTCTTCACTATACAATTGAAGAGATTTTTTGCAATCAATTTGTTTGGGCTCCCAACACTTTAGAGAGGCTTTAACAAGATTTGATTTGTAGGATTTGTAGGATTTGAAGGATGGAGAGAGAGAGAGAGAGAGAGAGAGAGAGATATTGAAATAGAGGAAAGGTACGGAGAGAGAGTGACAAATTGAGATGGAAGTGAGGGACGGAGACAGAGAGAGAGAAATATAAATAGAGGAAGAGGGACAGAGAGTTATAGAGAGAGAGAGAGAGAGAGAGAGAGAAAGGGGGCGTTGAATGGAGAGAGCATGAGGGAGAAAAAGGTGGAAAGGTAGAAAAGGATGATACATGGGGAGAGGTGAGAGATGGAGAGAAAGAGAGATAGAGATATTGAAATAGAGGAAAGGGATGGAGAGAGATTGAGATGGAAGTGAGGGACGGAGACAGAGAGAGAGAAATAGAAATATAGGAAGAGGGACAGAGAGTTAGAAAGAGAGAGAGAGATAGCACGAGGGAGAGAAAGGCGGAAAGGTAGAAAGGGATAGGAGGGGAAGAGAAAGAGTGAGAGGAAGGGCGGCGGTGGGTGTTAATTTACAGACATGACGGTAAAGCACAGACATGGGGAGATAAAAGAGTGTCGGAGACAAAAAAAAACGGAATCGTAGAATTAAAGAGGGTCAGATATTTGAACAGGGTTAGAAATATTTTAAACAATCTCTAAAAATGTGTATTTACCTTAATACCTGTCTCTTGAAAATGGTACCTAGACCTCTGAACGAAATAACAATTATCGTGTATTTTGATTTTGACTAATAGTCCTACTCTCCACCTTCTTATATGGCATCAATTAGAGGTCACTTTTGCCATTTTTACCAGTGGTAAACTTTCTCATTTATTAACAGTCCTACTCTGCACTTACCTATGACATCAGTTAGAGGTCCATACCCATATAGTTCCATCCCCAAGACAGGAGACCATGATCGGTCTTCGGATGGACCCAAAAAGAGCGTCCAACTATCGGCCTTGCAAGCGTGTGAGTCACATGGCTATCATGGTCATAATTTCCCGGGAATATCTATACAAAAACATATTTAATGGGATTGATCTTAAGTAATATTGCAAAGAAAACTCATTCTTAATGAAGCTTATTGTTAGTCCATAACTCTATACGGCCTGTGTATTAATACAATGCTGACTACACACATTGTGGTTATGAAGAGCCAGTTATAATTATCATGTCAATAGTTTTTTCCCCCGTTTTTTCCGTCCCATGGCCATATCCATATGTCAGTATCCTGAACAGTAATGTCTAAAACAGCGAAGAGCTATCCGAGCTCCTGCGCCCGGGGTGGGTCGGAACTTCCCTATCTGCATGGCTGGATCAACTAAGATGTCATTTTCGTAAGTTGTGATTCTTGTTTCACATAATTCATTTTGAAAAATACTTATTAGTTTGTTAGATAAACAAAGGCCTTTATCATGTATATTGCAATTTTATTTTTATTTTGCCCATAATAAGTTCCTTTTCCCTCTTTCCTGTTCCCAAGTTTTAGAACTAAAACTAAAAATATGGCACTATGTAAACTTATTGTTCCTTAAAAAATTGTTCCTTTTTTTCAGCCCTGGCACAAAGAAGTTGTATTATTGCGATCCATTTTCCATAGTCCAATGGAGTTCTTACGAAGTTGCACTGTATATTTCTGAACATAAAGACCACTGATTAAGTGTTTTTTTAATGTAAATGAGGAAACCGCAGTTTTGCATTCACCTCAACTGATCCAGAGTAAACGTTAAAATAACCAGTCCAAGCCATGTTGTCAAAACTAGACGAACAAGTGTATGACGTCACCCACTGACCAACGTTATTTCTACCCTGAGTAGTATACGACCGTTACAATATAACTGCACTCAAATTGGACCTGCATCCATGGGTATTGGTCGGACGAGTATGCGAGCCAGGCTGTGTCACCGTTCAGGCGGCCAAAGAGGCTGCAGAAGGCCGCCGAGTAGCAGGATGATTCGAAAAAAGGCGAATCGGGAAGAGCACCACTTTCAAGGCCGCGTGGTTGACCAGATATATTACACGGGTTCACTGTTGTAATTAAAGTCAAGAAATAATACAAACATATTACAGAGGCATAGAAAAATGCAAATAAAACACGAGAGTAAGAAATATATGTCACACCGTATGGTCTCCTTCATGAAATACATCATAAGTACCATCGTTTTAGACGCAAAGAACGATCAAGTCTACGCTGACAACTGCAGTTCATCCTGCAGTTAACCCTAACCCTAACCCTAACCCTAAGATATGTGAAAGTGACAGGTGGAGAGGAAAGGGGGCGGGCTTGGATTTACAATGTATAGTATAATAATACACACTGTCTTTATAAACAAAGGTGAGCCCCCCCCCCCCCCCCCGCACTCCCGCCTCGAAGCATTCAGAGCACTGAAACCACACCTCAGCTATCCCGGAATCTATCTCTACTACACGTCCGCCTCTGAGTCAATTATTTCTCATGAGGGAAAAGTGAGAGAAAGAACGAGAGAGAGAGAGATAGACAGTGTGCGTGTGTGTGGGTGTGTACGTGCGTGTGCGTGTGTTTGTGTTTGAGTGCGTGTGCGTGTGTGTACGTGTGTATGTGTGTGTGTTTGTTTGAGAGAGAGAGAGAGGAACTCGGGGGAAAGGGGAAGAAAAAGTAGTTAAAGAAGAAGAAGAAGAAGAAGAAGAAGAAGAAGAAAGAAAGAAAGAAAGAAAGAAAGGAGAAATAGAAAAAAATGAAGCAGGAAAAAAGAGAAAGACGAAAATTAAAGAAAAAAAACAGATAGGTCTCTATCCTACACTCAAGGGTCAACAAAAGCGGGATTAATACTAGAAGATAAACAGAATCGATACGTCTCACTAACTGCTACGCGTCGGAAAACAACAACAACAAATGGACTCGAAAGTGTTCCTGTCTACTTTCCATGTTAATCGTGTTTGTCCAGCCGTTGATCTTTAAGTCAGTCGAGGCTATGCAGAACTGATTTACTCAGTATCTCCTTCTGCATGCTGGATGTCCACCTCGTTTGCTGGTGCACTGCGATCCGTGTATTCGCAGGCTCGTGCTCGGTGGTACTGACCCCTTTCTGGTAATGGGTAAGTGAAGCCATTATTGGAGATATAGTTGGGTTTCTCTAAGCTAAAGCTAGTATGGCGGTGGAAAAATGCATTTTTGTCTAAAATCACAAACTTTGGCACATCTGTGCTTAAAATTTGAATGAACGGAAAAAGTCTTTTTTTTTTTTTTTTTTGCCAAATAGGCCTATGTTTGATCAGAGATAGACCTTTCAATTTGTTATAATTTTTATTATGGGTTTGAAATAATTAAACTGTTTAAATTTAAAAGTTTGATATCACTGGACTTAGCATATTTTAATGTAAATTAACGAGTGCTTTGTCCACACACCAATCCTGCAATTCATGACACTCCTTGTAATTACTCGCCTCACAAACCATCACAGTATAGCTTCCTGAGTGAGCACTCAAAGGGATTACCCAACCAAGTACCAAGTATTATGTAAGGCGCAAAGAGACATAAAAGTATGAATTACTCTCTATTTTGGAGTTTTTGATAAATCAAACTTCCTATATTTCCAAGTCAATTTGTACACACCATTAATTTGACCATTAAAACGCTTTTTCTTGATTAAACATTGTACGCATTTGTTGTCATGCAACACACAGAAAGGAAAATGATCATATAGTATGATGGATACGTAATTCGACAATTTCCTCATGGCTGGACTATCATCAGACCATGTGCATAAAAACAGAAAGTTTTTTCGACCGAGGTTCACCAACGCATTCAGTAGTGCCTTATGAGTTTTTTTATTTTAATCATAACATAACATAACGGACACTAATTAGGCGTTTGTTTTCATAGACCTAGTTATGTGTAACTCGTAAGAACTACAACAGCAATGTCACACTGAAGTACAAATGCATGCGACAGATCGATTTTTCGAATTTAAGAAAGTTTTCATTCTTGAACGGTTTCAGTTTTGCACAAAAATAGACCCTTTGCGGATTTGTCGCCGTCATAGGCTGCGGACATGTCGTACGTGGTCGGGGAGAAGAGTTGACATCTTTTCCTGATTTACAAACAGTGCGAGTGAGCGAAGTGAGGGAGCCAAAATATATACACTTTATGATAGTCAATTTAAGTTGTTGCATCGAACTATCGTAGATAGGGTTTAGTAATAGCCACTGATCGCCCTATTTGAGTAAGGAAACTTGCCGGGGGGGGGGGGGTGCTACCCTCCCCCAACATCATACGCATTAATTATGCTAGCCGCCAAAATGTTCTGATTTTGTGGTGAAAAAACACTGTTTACATATAGGATCACAGTCTGCAGATCCAGCGAGGGCCATTGGAGCCGCAAGCCATGTGAACCAACAAGCTTTGTTTTTTCTTTTGGGTACATTTACTTAAAGGGATAGTTGAGTTCTGGTGCAGAGGGCGCTACACAAAATAATTTTTTGTGAGATAATGAAAAACCGAGTGTCTAATTTGAAAGAACATAATATTTTAAATGACAAAATCAACTTTGTTTGATCAAAATCGGTTCCGAGACGGCTGAAATATAACGATTTCTAATACTTGTGTACCACCACAAATATTAGATATTTTGAAAAAAATTGAAAAAACCGTTGAAAAAAAAAAGAAATAACGCCTTTTACGTCGTATTTCAGCCAATGCCGGTATTGGCTTTTTTGTTGGCATTTTCGTGTTGCTTACCCACAATTAGCCGGTTATTTTTAATTAAATAATTAAATAACGGTAACCGTGTTTTTTTTAAAGTGGAGCTGAATTGGTATGATCGTATTGGCTAAATTTCACACATTTTGGGGTCTTAAATTACCTTCATAGCAATTTTAGGTTCTAAAAGGGCACTATAAATGTCAAAGATAAGAATAAGAGCAATAACCATGCACTTTGAAGGCATTTGCGGTCTGAAAACAGAACTCAACTATCCCTTTAACTTGGTCTTTTATTTACAAGTGAATATAAACAAATCAGTTGATTGACTTTATTTTACATACTTGGGTTTATCTAAAACACCTTTCTTATTATAAACATAATTGCTAAACAATCTGAAAATGTGCAATGTGAAATACGAAAATAAGCCGTATAAAACTAACTGAAACGGGCACTGAGGTTTGAATGTTCTCTCGATGTTGTTCCGCAACGAATAAAGGATTACAGTCCTGAAGTTGAGTCTCATTGAAAAAAAATCGAGTAGGGTCTATTATTTAGCTGAGGCCTCCTTTATAGGCCTTCATGTCTACCTTTCATAGTATCCATGGATAACGTTGCCTTGTTAGTATTGATGCTCCTGTGAGGTGAATGTATCTTAATACGTCTGGATAAGATTGCGCCGACCCGGTTGGTTGACTGGCATTGGATTATAAGGACCTATTCCCTCGTAAAGACTTAAAAGAGAAACGCATGAACAACAACTTATTTACCTTCTTAGGATTACATTTACCATTTATTTAAAAGCACTTCATGCCCCCCCCCCCCTTCCCCCTCTCTCTCTCTCCATATAATTATGTTTGTGCGTGTGCGTGCGTGCGTGTGTTTGTGTATATACTCTATCTCTCTTCCTCTCTCTTCCTCTCTCTCTTTTTCTGTCTGTATGTGTATGTGTGTGTGTGCGCGCGTGATTGTGTGTATGTCTCTCTCTCTCTCTCTATTATATTATGTCTCTTCCTCTTCCTCTTCTCTTCTATTCTCTAAGAGAGACGTTGCACTCATTTAAATGCATTATCTCTTACAGGTTTGTTTGGATATACTAAAAACATCTTCAATAAATACCCTCCTCCTATAAATCCTAAGTACATAAGGCATAATTAGTCAATTTTGACTGAATTGCTTTAAATAATCTAGCAACAACATCTGTTTGGAGCAAGAAGGGCGTTAACTCGTATTCTTTTATACAGACTTAATGACCTTCTGGCTCTGAACAGTGTGTGCGTATTGGGGTTTTACAGACGTGTATCAATCTGATGTGTTTACGCTTGGAGACCGACCTTTAAAGATCACCATCCGAGATACGTGACTAAGTTTCAAACCTGCGTCCTTGGCTGAATCAGTTTGTAACTTGCATTGTTAGCTGAATTACAGGCGCACGCCACAACGCACTGAACAGACAAAACTTACTCTCTATAACGGGTCTATATTGTCGTATTTTAAGGCAGTTCTAATACATTGTTTGTTTTCCAGTATTATGGTAAGCCTCGTACAGAACAATACGACGCCCTTATGATGATCCTCTTTATTATATAGAGAGGTCATTTTAGGTAGACAGTGTCTAGAGGTTTTGAATTGTTTACATATCATCGTTTGGTAGGAAAATAATTTTCGTTTGCCTTCTTAAAAGAAGGTCACCCCTTTTCGTGCTATAGTGTCCTTTCAAGCGGCAATGTTGGTCTCTCACGGAATAACATGGCAATATAACTGCTTATGCGTGATAAACCTATTATGGTGTACACGTATTTACAGGGAGATGGTAGTCAGTTTCCATGTACAGTAGGTCATAATTCGCTGACTTCATACTTGTTGGAAATACAATTAACGGGTGTACAAGTCTGCACACAGCAGAACCGTAGTCCCATCAAGAAATATCTATAGTCTCTCAGAGAGTTGAGGGGAATTTATGAATATGACTATTCCATGTAGGGGCGCTCGGTTGAAAATGAAGAGCATTACAAGACCTGTTGGTCATAAAGCTGAAAGCTAATCCTGCATGGTGTTTGACAACACACATGATGTTGGGTAAATACCCGAGTGGTGTTAAGTTCCGGATGGAGAACCCACTACCCTGCCAATCACTATCGCTATTCCTTCTCTATATTCCTTTCTCACCCAAACCCTCCTCACGGACCCCATTCCCAATTTAAATGTATGAACCAGTTAAAGAATGTTGATTAAAAAAATACGCTTTACCGTACAATCTCCTCCTTTTCCTTCCTTGATATCACTCTCCTTTCTCCCCTAAATATATGCCCTTTATCATATGTGCGCACATCAGTCGCATATATGATGGTAAGTTGTCGAACAAAGCCAGGCTTTAGTACTAGAGTAAACTGTCCGGAACAAACCCTCACTTCCCAGATCAACAAAAGGGATCAAGTGTTTTTTATGACAGTCTGTGTAAATGGTACTCGAAGAGAAAGTTCCGTTCTTTGCTTGTTTGATAGGCCTTTATATCTCCTTCCAATATAAATGCCGGACCCATCCCCTCACAATTAGTCCCGTCTATTAAAAGTTACAAGAATGTGGTTGACTAAATGTTCAATATAAATCTTTTTCATTTTAATGACTGCTTAAAACGTATTTAAAAGATTTAGCCATTTGCTTTACAGTGTTAATCAGATTTCGTCTCAATAATGTTCTTTGCTTTCGGAGTGAATGCGTTTCGCAATTGCACTCTGTGTACAGATTGCAGGCATTAAATGCCGAATAATTATGTTGTTTTTTTAATAAATTCCCTAGTCATTTTGGATATACGAATATATATCTTTTTGATTTTTAGTAATAATTAAATCACTGATATTCATGGGCTTTTTAGAGTATTGATATCCTTCCCACCGGCGATGTAAAATTATACTTTTTCATGTGATGTGTATGAAATAAATACGAATTTAATAATTGGTATCATTATTCGTAGGACTGGGGCTTAAGCATGGACTATTCGCTTCGTTGCAATCCTGTCACATCACGGTCGGTGATAAATGCCCAAAGATTCCCATCAGTACCACTGGAGAACATTAATCAGTTCGCACAAAATATCCATGCAGAACCGAAACAAGGCCTTGCCAATCCAATGATGTCTGCCTTTACGAAGAATAACGTATGTTTTCACAAAGGGGTCTCCGTTGCTGGATAGTTGATGATCTAAATGGCAAGCTCCTGATTTGAAAAGAAAAGAAGATTTCACCAAGAGTACACAAAAAGAGAAAGCCTTCTTCTTCAGCAGAGTTAAATATCAAATACCGGTATTAGCACAGGCCTTGCCAATTCAATGCTGTCTGGCTTTACGAAAAATAACGTATGTTTTCACAAAGGGGGCTCCATTGCTGGATAGTTGATGATCTAAATGGCAAACTCCTGATTTGAAAAGAAAAAGAAGGTTTCACCAAGGGGTACATAAAAAGAGAAAGCCTTCTTCTTCTGCAGAGTTAAATATATGATGGCGATCGAAGTGGAAAGAGTGGGACAAATATCAATTACAATTATTCTCAGAGATTGAGAAAAGTTTAAAACACCAAAGAATTCATCATTAAATAATACAGACATGTCTGTATCGTTTAGTTAATATTTGGAGTGTACACACCATATTGGGAAGTAAAAAGATCTATACGGAGGTTGAAATACGCATGAATGTTATTTTTACTGAGCGTTTAATGAATATTATAGTGTTTTAAAAGGTCAATGTAATTTGCCAGTTAGAAGCAATATTAATTTTGTTCATGTTTTTATTTTTTTGAATATTTTTGTTTCCTTTTCAGGTACAACTCCAAAAAGAGCAATCTTCCAATTGTAAAGAACATGCATCGAAATTGGCCTTTTCCTGAACCCTCCTTAATAATAATAATAATAATAGTGATACGAAAAATGTATATCGCGCTTAACATTAAAGTTTCAAAGCGCCAACAAATTATATTGACAATTATTTTATATTGACAAATGACAAATTATATTGTAAGATTTTCCTACCATCTTCACTGATACGTTAACCATTTTACAGCATGCCCGCGGGCAACTTCTATGAAACATTAGAAACTTTTACACAGTAATCAAACATTCTTTTATTTTCCTCAATAGGTGGAGAAGTTTCACGAAGAGAGATGGGGAAAATGTACATCGTGTTTGGGTTATTGGCTGTCTCTGTTCTGCCGTATACATCTGCACAAAATACATGTAAGATAATACTTATACTAGTATTATTTCACCTTAACTATTATGTAGTTGAAACAAGAAAGAGGACAAGTTACACAAGAAATTCAAACTAAATGATAATTTAACATTCAAAATAATGTATTGCCGATTTGAAGTTTGAAATGCGTACTACTTTCGTAGAAATTAGTTATATCATAACATATTAAGACGTTCAATAGGCTTGCAGGTGCACCATGTGAGAGAGAGGGAGGATTGAGGAGTCCTGAAAAGGACTCTCGGTAATCTTTCTTGAGTGTTTTGTAGTCCAGAAAAGGACTGTTGGTGTAGTCTTGAAAAAGACTGTTGGTTATATTTCTTAGCTTATACTTCTAAGGAGAACTATAGCGCTTGGAGAGGATGAGTGGCGGGAGTGGTAATTAAGACATGCACATTAAGACGAGCACATTAGGACGTGCTCACCGCTATTGTGGATTTGCTGTAGATTGGACTTTCTATGTATGTAGTAATTGTTTATGAAAAATACAGCACATTTCATATAAATTTGAATACATGATTATATCTTACAGGCAGAAATTGCACACAAACTTTGCATTTTGTTATAGTGCTTAGAGACTTCGGTGGTAAGCGATTCATATGCACCGTTTTCACCCCCCCCCCCTAATTAAATTTTTATTTGTATGCAGACGACATCTACCCCATTTCTCTCTCTCGTAACTCGGAAACCGAAATATCGTCCCCTAACTATCCGAGCAACTACGGCGACAACCTCAACATCCTATGGCGGGTACAGGCACCCAAGAACTCCGGAGTTGTCGCCACTTTCAACGATGTTTCCCTCGAATATTACTATGATAACCTCATCGTCGGTTTCGGATCTGGTCCCGATGGTCCCGGATCTGGCGTACTGGCCCGGTTTACTGGTACAAATTTCACGTCTGAAGTAAGATCACCTGGTGATACCATGTGGATTTTATTTACCAGTGATGTCTCAAAAACAAATCGAGGATTCGAGGCGCGTCTGACTGCTGTGGATCTACCAGGTAATTATTATGATGATAAATAATATTTGTGATAATGGGCTAATTGTTGCTATTATTTTAGATGTCATTATGGGTAGGATTATGCTAGACTAAAACATACGAGGATATTGAACAGATGTCTGTATTTTAAGCCTAACTATATCATTTTTATAAGAATATTGTATAAATGATAATAGAAAGTTTCAAAATAAACGCACAATGTGGAATATTACGAATTTAAAGAATAAACAAAATGTGGGGTACATACATACGTCAATAATTATGTGATGGCTACAGTCATATAATATTGCAACAACAAAAAATAGGTAAGGTGGGTATGACTTTAAACAATTATGTCTAAAATTGCCATTACATCATCGATCTCTATAGACCTTAACGCGCTATTCCTCTCTATTATGCTCTCCTAACTTGAAATTCCAGTGTGCCAAGGTGATGAGTTTCAATGCAGAAGCGGGCTATGCATTTCTCCCGCGCAAATATGCGACGGCTTCAACGACTGTCTGGACTTCTCAGACGAAGATTCATGTCGTAAGTCACACAAATTAGTTATGTTCACAAGGCACTGTCGTTGTTATACAGTGCGTCCCAGAAAAAAACGAAACCGAAAATTATCGATGTTTTATCATAACTTAATTACAATTATAACTAATAGTTATAATTGTAATTAAGTTATGATAAAACATCGATAATTTTCGGTTTCGTTTTTTTATATGACACATATTTGCAAAGCTTAGATCCTCCTCTTTCATTTGATGCATTGTTCACGTGTGAGTGATTAAAAACAATTTGAAGAGAGGAAACCAAAAAGTCATTTGGCGGGCGGTATCTGAATTTCAAAAAGAAAATCACATTTCTAGAAAGTTCAATTTTTGCCCTTTTATATCAGGAAAAAATGAGCCAGGAATAACAAAGTTTTGTTTGTTTAAGTGAATGCTTGCAATTCCATAATTTGATTAAACGAATTCGTTTTAACTGGATGCCTGCCGTAGCAACAAACAGAGTTGACAAAGACTTAACTCCGTTTCATTGACGATCAGCCATGCACAAAGAAGACGAAAGACTTGATGCAAATTCAGATACCGCCCGCCAAATAACTTTTTTGTGTCCTCTCTTTAAATTGTTTTTAATCGCTCATGCGTGAAAATATCATCAAATGAAAGAAGAGGATTTAATGTGTTAATTATAATTGTGATTAAGTTATGATAAAACATCGATAATTCTCGATTTCGTTTTTTCTGGGACGCACTGTAAGTTTGCAAAACCTCGAAGTTGTTTACAATGATGCACTACCACGAAGAAGGTTCACACGGGAACGAAACAACGAGTTTTCAAAGTTAACTATACGCTTGAGAACACATCAAACCTTTTTTGCTTGGTTTGTCCGACTTTGCTGCTTCTATTGTAAGTAAGTTAATTTTGGAGTGGACTTGCCCTTTAACTACAAGATAACTTCGAAGTATGTAACTATGACCCTTGTCAATATGGCGTCCAGTTTGACGCATTAAAAATGATTATGTGTTCGAAATTAACCAATCAATCCGGCAATGAAGGATTGTTCATGCTATCGAAAACATGTTTAGTTCATATCCTTCTATATCCAAACCAGCCGAAGCTGAAATTTCATATTGACATATTTGCGTCGGCATTATAAAAATTAATGACATTTCCAATACCAACATGTTAATAACAGATAAATATATACGCAAACATACTGATCTGGTATATGACATAATTATAAATGTTATTCGTTGAAATATACGTTTTGCCTCCCACATGACTGAAACGTATCTTACCTGATGACAATGCTACATTATTATACGAACTTTGTGACTTCTAAAAATCTATTTTTCGTTTCGACTTGAAGCGATTTGTGAGCCAGTACAACTAGAGGTTTGCCGGGAGAAACTGGCTTACAACACCACCCTATTCCCACATCGCTTGGCACTAAACGCACAGGACGCAGAGAGAAACTTTACAGAAATAGTAAGTTTATTCCCCCCCCCCCAAACAAAAAAAGAAGATTAGAAAAAACATTACATGGATCTCGTGGACTAGTGGATAAGTCCATGGACTAAGAAGCACAAGATACGGAGAACTAATCCTTGTCTCGGCACTACTGTCATATGGGAAGACTTCAATCTACATTTGCCACTCTGTGAAGAAAATAGGTACTCTAAAGGAATTAAGTTCCTTGAAATGCAAGAGCGCCATAACAGAGGCATGATAAATCCGGGGTAATATTAATGGAGCGCCATGAGAGTCGAGTATAAGAGACACGAGCGCTATACAAGAACCCTATGTCCGTAATATCATTTTTTAAATACTGATTTTGAGATCAAATTGCTTGATGAAACACAACCTGACCTCTCTCATCTAGCTGAATATACAACAATTATGTTTGTAATAAAATACCTTTCATGCCTTTCATATAAATACTAATATTAGACTATATAGCCTGTGGGCTATTGTTCACTTTATTGAAATTGTAAAATCTTCTGTAATGAAGGCTTTAGGCCGACCTTAAGCTGAGGTATATTTTGGTTTTCAAATGAAAATGGATAAGACATTTGCATAGTCATAAATATTTTCATTCTATTTTTGTTAATTATCCAGGTATCCAGCATTTCGTCCTGTCATGACAATCTCTTGAGCCTGACTTGCAACCTACTGTATCCAGAATGCACCCATAACGGCCCCGCCCAAAGGGTGTGCTACTCGGATTGTGTCGCCATCACTGACGCCTGCCAAGACCCCTTCGAGCAGTCCCTCAACCGTCCCTGGCCCTTTGAATGTTCTCAGTTGACAGACGACTATGCTGGTGAAGGAATGTGTTTTGCTGCAGAAGGCGGTAAGGTCAACATCTAAATATCATGTCTAATTTTGTGTTGAACATTCAAAGGTTTTGGAGGCCACACTACATAGAATAAGGAAGGATTACTAATAAACCATCGAAAAAATCTCGGCCACCTATCAAGTAATAACGAGAAAAAATGAAAGAGAGTTATGTCCATCTTTGTTTGAAGTATGTTTTATTTTGTCCGATTAAAAAGTTATCAAATATCAAATATCCCTAACTGTTTAGAACTTGTTTTTTTCAATGAATAGGAATGACAATATTAGGGGGGATATGGGACATCATTCTCTTAATCTGATCATTCCAAACAAAACATATATTTCTAAAAAGTCAGTGTTCTGGCTAGTGGCTAGTTCTACATTTCGTAAAGAGAACACTATATAAGAGCTAGGCCAATTTCTGACAGAGCGACATGACTGTCTAATTTCAAATATGACGTAGTATATCAAGTATAATGCAGTCCACCAAGAACCATGAACGCATTCTTTTAAACAACACGATGAATAAGGTTGTTTCGTACAACCCTTGACTGTAATTTATATTGTATTCAGCATCATTACTTCAAAGATCTTTTCGATACCAATTATGATGACTAACGGTCATCCCCTTCGGAACAACAGTGTGTAGAAGTGTCATAGTATAGTCGGATGGTTTAAGCACTTGACTTGAAATTCAAAGGTCGTGGTTTGATTTCCGACAGCGCACTAATGTCCTTTGGCAAGGCATTAATCTTCATTTGCCTCACTCGACCCAGGTAAGGTAAATGGGTACCTGGCAGGAATTAATTCCTTGAAATGTTGGAGCGCTGTAATGGCAGCTAGGCTAAAGCCGGGGTAAAAAATATTGCGCCTCGGAATAGAATTTCTAGATAGACGGCGCTATAGAAATGCCTCATATTATTATTTCATCAGGCCTCCATCTCACTCCGCATAGCCTGATTCACCAGTCCTTCTCAGGACTTCTCTCACGAAAGAAGAACTTTCTTATAAATTTATCTACCTCTTTCCGTGCAATACCAAATAATTCTCCACATGACAAAACAAAAATAAAAATATCGCCATCACTCTCTTTCTTTTCTATCCCTTTTCAAACCCAAACAGTTCTATCAGGACTATCCATATGGTGAAACTGCAAAGTTATGAATTTATGACAAATAATTATTCTAAGAATACCGGTAAGTTACGAAGCAAAAAGGTCGTTTCGCATAACCCTTGACTCTTGACTGTAATTTATATCCTATGCAACATAATTAATTTCTTCACAGATCTGCTTGATACCAGTATCTGCGGGACACGCCCTGCCTACTCGCTGGGCCAATCCAGAGTTGTTGGGGGTATCAATGCACGCCCAGGGGAATTCCCTTGGATTGGATCTTTGAGGGTAGACGAGGGGTCCGATAGAGGTACTTTCGCATGCGGGGCTACCTTGATTAGCTCACAATGGGTGCTCACGGCTGCCCATTGCGTGTAAGTATTATACAATAACGGCCCTCTGTTCTGACACTCATCTTTACCAACATCCCTATGTCCTATACCCCTTTATACAATGATGACGTAGATCCAAATCAAATGATTAGGTGAAATCGTACACGTGATCATGCATTTATTTAGCCTAACGCGAAACTACCGGTCATTATCCTATGGTAATGACGGTCATTGGCGATCATGTTTTGATCGCCAATGATCGCCAATGATCGCCAATGATCATGTTTTGATCGTCAAAAAACTAGAAATAGATCTTAACTAGATCTAGATCAGTCACAGATGTAGACCTACAATTAGTAATGTATGGACTTTGAGATGAGGATGATTTATCAAATAGCCGGGATCCACGCCATACTTTTATAAAACATATAATACACAGCATTTTGTTTGGGCAAAAGTAAAATTACCCACACTCACTACCTTTGAAACAGTCCAAACACCCTCGGCTATCGCCTCGGGCGTGTTAGACTGTTCCAAAGGTACCTTGTGTGGGTAGTTCTTACTAATGCCCTCACTGCAGTGCATTATTTGTATATTAACCTCACATCCATAAACATTAATACTTCCATGAAAGTTCATCTGTATTGGTGATATTTGTTTTAATAAACTCCCCGAATGTCTTGTTGAATACATATTATTTCATTATTATGTTCTTTTGTTATTGCGTACTGTACATATTTTGTGTTTTTGATAGGTAAAAGAATTCTCAATTCGGCTTTTAGCCGCGATTCATTTTAAAGAATAATAACATGTTTTTTATTGATAAACCATTGCAGCTTTAACATCGTCAATTTCAATTTCAATAACAGAGGTTCATAATTACCATCATTTCAAATTTTACTCAGTCCTTAATCTACCTTAAGCTAAAAGAAAACCAGAAGGATTTAATACATTAGATGTTTTTTTAAGAATGTTATAATAACAACAGTGGGTTCTGGTATAGCGCTCATCTCTGTCAGACTTGACACTCCTGGCGCTCCGCAATTATTACCCGGCTTTTCTGTTGAAAAGATCCTGAAATATAATGGACTACGATTTTAAGTGATCCTGTTCAAAACTGGAAAATAATGCTTCTACCCTTTCAAATGTTGCTTTCCACAAAGCTTTTTTATTTTCAATTCAGAATTTAATACTTGGGGTCAACATATATTGTTATACTTCGGGTTCGGCTGATTCTAATTTATGTACATTTTGCTTATCCTCTGTCAAAAGTATTTTCACACTTATTTTGGGACCGCCCTTCTACCCATTAATTTATTCAAGACTCCCAAAGCTCTCTTCTTAACAATGCAGTGCATTTGAATAACGATTCTTGTTTTGTTTGATTTTCTAGATGGTAAACAATGTAGCTTTAACCTTTTCATTTTTTATGAAAAACAATTTATATTCTCTACACAATGGAAAGGAGAACGGTTTTCATTAGGTTCACTCAAGAATATCTTAAACGTTTTGTTGAAGTTGAGCGGGTTCTTTGTATAAAAAAACGATTATGTAGTTCGTTTTATCATCAGATAATAACACATGTACAACTGCTGTAACTATGTTTGTTGTTTTTTCCATTACCGTAAATCGCCGTGTATAACACGCACTTTTTTCCGCCAGAAAAATCGAAAGTAGGGGTGCGTCTTACAGACAGGTACAGGATGTTTTGAGTCCTCAAAATACTACTTTTTAGTGGTTTTAGACCATCACTGTGTCTCAACATAAATAACATAATGCAAATAAAGAATAGGATCTACTATTTGAAGTTAACTTACGTTCCTAATTTGAAGGGAAGATATTTATTTTTTTTATTTTTTTTTAAGTCTCGATTTATGCAACTTCACCTAGCTAGCATGCAGTAGCATTCTTCCGGCCGACGCTCACCTGTACCCGGTAGAGCACCGGCATGGCCTCAGCTCACTCACACATGGGATGTAGACTCACCAATCGGAAACTAAAACCAAACTAGCCTATGTCCGAATTTCTGTTTGGACTCGGAGGAAATTTGTCTGTCATCTTTAGCTTTAAAAACGGCATTTTTACTATCATTTGTGACAAGTTCACAAGCACAAATCGGTGCCTTCAATTTCGACTTGTCTTGTAGGAAAATTAAGGTTTTCTAACGTACTACGGTGTCTGCTAAAAATCAAAACAGCGAAGCTGCTTCTTCTTCTTCGTTTGGTATTATAATGGCAATTAGTCAAATTTGACTATTGTTGCCAATTTCTTCGCATCTCTTTCTTTTAATGTCTTGGTAAAATAATTATTTATTTTTGTCCAATCTCATTTTAATATAATATTAGTCATAGCCTACCCAGTGTACGGAGATGTACGGTATGTCATATATACAATGCGACCCAGAAAATGAAACCGAGAATTATCGATGTTTTATCATAACTTAATCACAATTATAATTAAATTGACGCATATCTGTAAAGCTTAGATCCTCCTCTTTCATCTGATGCAAATCATATGATGCATATTTCACGCATGAGTGATTAAAAGCAGTTTGAAGGAAGGAAACTATAAAAACGGATTTGTTTTCACTGGCTGCATGCCGTAGCAACAAACGTAATCGACAAAAGACTTAACTCCGTTTCGTTGACGATCAGATATAGACGAAAGACTTCATGCATGGCTGATTGTCAATAAAACGGAGTTAAGTCCTTTGTCAATTCTGCTTGCTGCTACGGCAGGCAGCCGATGAAAACGATTTTTTTTTTTTTTTTTTTTTTTTTTTTTTTTTTTTTTTTTTTTTTTTAAATCAAATTATGGAAATGCAAGCATCACTTTAAACAAAGGAATAACGCTGTCGAAGTGACGCATCGTGCGCAACGGCTGTACCCTCGAACAATTGCTTTTTTTTTATTAGGTTTGATTATCATATAATAACGAAGTCACAATAGCGTCTTTTCGATTTGCACTTTCATAAGTGGACTGCGACGTATGCGGTCACTTTTAAGCAGGGTTGACGAGGCACGCTGACTGTTGTTCGTTACCTTTTCGATGTTACACAACTACGACGCTCGCTTAGTGAGCGCGAAACGCGATCGAATAGCTAAAGATATAACTCCAAATTCGGTGGATGGCACTGTTCTAAAAAAATATGCTGCAGCAGATTAGCGTTGCATGAATAAAATGTGTTCAATTTATGATAGATTCTGCTTAGTGAGCGCAAAATTCGATCGAAAAGCTAAAGATTCAACACACCAAATTCGGTGCATGGGACTAATCTCGAAAATAATGCTGCAACAGATTGGCGATGCACAAACAAAATGTGTTCATTTCATATATAATTATGCAACAATTTTGATTTAAGAGAAATTACAGACACGAAAATGTGTTAATTTAAGAGAATTCACGCTTCCACCACTCTCCGGTTCTAGAATTAGGTCAATTGGGTCCATTTTGTGACTACAATTTGAACGTGCCTACAAAAGATTGCTTACGAACATGTATCGTCACAGTTTGGGAACGACGGCAAAACAAGGGCGAACACGTTCGAGAATTCTGCTACGAACGATGAGCTCGTCGATGCGCATGCGCACTGCTTCAAAAGTGACCGCATACGTCGCAGTCCACTAGTGAACGTGCAAATCGAAAAGTCCCTAATGACGCCTCGTGTGCAACGCGCATTATGGTTTTATCGCAATTATGTCATAGGTCCTGAATTGCTCTTTCGTTTTTATATTTTCCTCCTAGACAATACTACCTTGATCGGGTGATCTTTGGAATACTTCGGCTGTCAGGTGAGTCCGAGTACGAAGTGAATGCCGAAGTGGCCGATATCATCATCCATCCCGACTACGACGGCGAGACCTTGGACGCGGACATCGCTCTACTGCGTCTGACTGAGCCGGTGTCTTTCACTGATTACGTTAGGCCAGCATGTCTAGCCTCATCGTCAAATGAACTGAGTGATTATCGTCGATGCCTCGTTGCTGGTTGGGGGGCTATCTCTGAAGGGGGAGGTACGGTATTTTAATCTTTGATATTTAGCGTTGATCAGCCTATGTTCTAACAAGCCTATGTTCCAGCAATATGTATGTGACTGCATCCATGGATAAGTTTTGCGTAAACTGACCCATATAAGAATTGGTTAATTAGGCAAGTGCTTGCGTGGCCTGTGTTGTAGAGAAGGCGACACATGGGGTCGTCGGAACAGATGGGTGTCGTATGCCATATACAATAGGGGCACCTGCGCACAGGGGTGTCGGAATATTGGCATTTTTTAAGCATAGGACTATCAGTACATATAGGTATCGGCAGACAGAAGAGCGGTCTGAACTAAGGGGTGAAACCAGAACGTAGGGGTAAAAGAGGACCATATGGATGAACCCATACAACGTAGGGGGAGGGGGCGGGGGTAAACTGAAACATAGGGATGGAAAAATACAGGGATGACGAAGAATAGGGTATAAAAACGCGGGTTACGTAACTTAGAAATTTCAAACATAGGGTTGTCGAAACGTAGAGATATCGAAATATAGGGTTGTCGAAACATAGGTTGTCGAAACATAGGGATGTCGAAAACTTAATGTTGTTGAAACATAGCGGTTACGTAACATAGGAATGTCTGAACGGCGGGATTGCGAAAGATAGGGTTGTCGAAAAGTAAGGATGTCGTAACATAGGGGTGACGAAACTTGAGGTGTCGAAACATAATGGTGACGAAACTTAGACATGTCGAAACAAAGGGGCGTAGCATTATAGTTGTTTTTGTAACCGACCTTTTGTTGAGAGATAATGCAACATAAATACAAACAGTTTCGTATTATGGAAACATGGGTCATTTTATTTACTCATCAGCATCATCAAGAAGGCTAAGTTTATGAAAAATGTATACAGATCCTTCGGAGACTTTACAAAAAGCGGTGGTTAACCTTCTGGACCAAGAAAGGTGCAATTCCGACGTTTCTTACAACGGTACACTGACGGATAACATGATATGTGCTGGGTACGAACGAGGAATAATTGATACCTGTCAGGTAAATAAATGTCAAATTACTTTAATTTGTTTAAAAAAGAGGGATAATTTTGCACAGTCTCCTATGATGGTCATGAATAGTCGAGATCTAAGAACGAGGAGGGGGCGGGAGATGTTGAAGAAGGAAATGTACGATGAGGAGGAAGTGGAGAGGAGGACAGGGGGAGGAGGAGGAGGAGGAGGAGAACAGTCACCAACAACTTACAAACACTCCAAATGAGAGACAAATGCAGACACGGCTATTTTCTATGTATTTTCAAAGTGCCAAGGAGGAAGGAAGAGGATGGAGGAAAATGAGGGGTAGAGGAGGAAGAGAACGAGGAAGAAGGGGAGGGCAAAGACAATACATGTGACGAGGAAGAAGGGGATGAGGAGGGGACGAGAAGGAATAGGAGCAGAAGGGGTTCGGGGTGAGAAGGAGTAGAGTAGAAGGAGGGGAGGAGGAAAACATTCTTTAATTCCAATAATAATGTTTACCATATGGCGACAGGGCGACAGCGGTGGGCCTTTGACCTGTGAGGGCGATGACGGTCGATGGCATCTTGTCGGAGCAACAAGCTTTGGAGATGGATGCGCAAGACCACTCTTCCCGGGTGTCTATACCCGAATCTCACAGTTCCAAGATTTTATTACAGCTGTGGTTTCGAATGGTAAGTATAAGCTGTTATGCCATCGCGCTCTTTACGATCAGACTACACCGAAATTTTGGAAGAAAGCGATTGAATAGTTGCCACTTGCTCATTCTCGGGAAGTTAGAATAATATACTGATGTCTATTTTTGAAATCTGTTTATATAAACTTTCTAATTAGTCTTTTTTAACACGTGGAGATCAATTCACGATTCAAACCATTCAATTTTTATCTGTAGAAATTATGCCATTATTAAGCTTGGGGTCAAGCAGTTTTCTTTCAAAATCACTTTTTCTTTTTGTTAATGTGAATCATCAAAATGTCTAGAATGATAATAAGATCATATTATTACAATTTAAATTTGATTTTCATGTGACAGTTAATAATTAAGTCTCGACCAACTCAAGAAAAATTGTGAAACATCAGTCATAAATGAGAAAATGACAATGATTTGATACTAACTTTATTCTCCCATCAGCATACTCACCGGGGATATACGAAGTTGACCTTGACAACGGCGTTCCCACATCCATCGCGTCTCCGAACTACCCGATGAACTACGACACCAATGACGTCATCGTCTGGAAGATATCGGCCCCAGTCGGCCGCAGCGTAAGGCTGGACGTCGTTGAACTTTTCCTAGAGAGCAACTACGATTATCTGTACGTGGGCGATGGACTGTTTCCTCAAAGTTCTACCGAGTTGGCGAGAATGACGAGTTATGTCGTCAGCAGGTCTGTGACGTCACTTGGACGTCACATGTGGATGAGGTTTGTCAGTGACTACTTATATACTGACGCCGGGTTTGAGGTTGAAGTGAACTCCGTGGATCCAATAGGTAATTATCTAACCCCCTGCAGAATATTTTCGTTTTTTTTTACTCTCAAAGCTTGTCGGGATATTTCATCTTCTAACTTTGTATGGTTTTCTTCTAAATCGTAGGTAAAAAGGATGTATAATCATGGTGATTTTAAAAGAAATATAACCTCAGTAGTCATAAAAGATATACCATCATAATAGTTTTAATCGAAAATGTAAGGCATCATTTGCGTCTGGCTGACAGCTTATTGATATTGATTCTTTGAAGTACAATGATCATAACTACAGATCCCCTTTGGAATGTGTCTCAAGTACATGTTTCTCAAAAGAGTACAGGTATTCCTTTTCCCACCACTGGATAGCGATGTTATTTAAGATACAGAATGTAATGTTGTGTATAAGCCGTGGGTAAATTTGTTGTAGACTTGTGACAGTTGGTATTCATAGCAAGGTTAATGAAACAGTGCCCAGAAATCGATTCACTCGATTACTCAACCAATAATTATCACTGACGCCTTTTTAAACCAAAACAGCACTGTTAAAACACTTGTTATTTTCTTCTCTCTCTATCTTTATCTCTTTCTCTCTCCCTCTATCTCTCTATAACTATCTATATTTGTTATCTCTCTTTCTATCTCTATCTCTCTCTCTGTATAGATGATAATCCAGTCATATCCGTCATGGCCAACATGCATACCAACACGGTACAGATCTCTTCCCCCAATTACCCTGCCAACTACCCTGCCAACTTTTACGACATCTGGCGAATCGTTGCCCCGACCAATTACACGGTCCTGGCCCTGATCTTTGATATTGATCTCGGATCCGAGGATGGTACCCTGATCGAGATAGGCTACGGGACCAGTCCTCACTGGCAAACGATCCTGCAACCCGTCATGCATTCGCTCACCGCTGATGACGACATTGTGGGGTTCGTCGTCTCACCGATCAACTCCCTCTGGATAAGATTCCAAACAGGGAATCAGACAAGCGGAAGGGGTTTCGCCATGTATGCACTCGCTGAACGAATAGCAGGTTCTTGAACATTTTATTTTGGGAATCATTAAACGTACTTTATCCAGGCTTGCCTTTTGAATAAACCAACATCCAAACTATATCATGTAAACATCATACAATGAGAAATAACTATACGACCTGATAGTTTTAAATGTACATTTGATTAACGAGTCATTTAAAAGTTAAACTCATCAGAAACGTGCAAACAAAAAAACGTGTAAGATTCATAATACGAAAGTATATTATTCTACATTATATTTAAACATCCCATCAATCTGTTCTGATTCTTTATTAAGAGAACAATGAAATAAAAGATGATTCTGGGGCGAATGCACATTTTAATACAGTACTTACTAGCGGGTGTTAGATCTCATTTGGTATTTTAGAGTACCATTATATGCTCATAATTGTGTGTACACTTCCTGAAATTGACTCCACTATGATTTAATCCTATCCGATGTTCAACAGTCAAATTTCCTAACTTGATCTTTCTTAATAATTTTGTTATCATAACTGCTTCATGTAATTCAGTAACGAAATGTCATGTTCTATGTTGTTCTATCTACAGATCTAAATGAATGCGAGAGAGATCCTTGTCGAAATGGAGGCACTTGCATGGACCTCATAGATGGTTACCAATGTAGTTGCCTGGATGGATACAAAGGAAAGGATTGTACTCAAGGTCAGTCATATATGTGGAAGTGTCGTGGTTGAGTGGTTCTTTTGCTTGTATTTCAATAAAGGGGGTTGAGAGTTCAAATCCCGACCCGGGACAAACGTCCCTTGACCAGAAATTAATAACTGTTGCATGACAGCAGCATGACATGCAATAACGATATGCTATTATGATATGTCCTTTGGAAAGACATCTACATTTGCCACACTCAACCCAGGTGATGTAAATGGGTACCTGGCAGGAGTTAATTCCTTGAAATGCTAGACCGCCTTAATGGCAGCATAGCTAAAGCCGGGGTAATAATCTCCAAGTTTGGAAGCACTTAGAGACTTAATTGTAATTTGCGCTATATAAAAACTGAGTTATTTTTTAATAGATTTCCACTCTCAATCCAGGTGTAAAATAATAATATTCTGGGTCTATATAGTGCTTGATGCATCGGCGATGTCTCTAAGCGCATTACATATATATATATATATATATATATATATAGGCGTGAAGAAAAAGGTCTAGGAACGTGAGACGTAGCTGTACTTTACAAGTTTATTACGAGCTTTCGGCTTGTGAGGCCTTCTTCAGGTTCTGAAGTGCAAACACATACAAATACAAATACATTGTATGAACAAATATACATGGCTTACAAGGCATAAGAGGCATACAAGGCCTCACAAGCCGAAAGCTCGTAATAAACTTGTAAAGTACAGCTACGTCTCACGGTCCTAGACCTTTTTCTTCACGCCTACATATTCTGGAACACCCGTTGTCATGTCAGAGAATTCTCGCACTTGTATATATACACCTAAGTTTGTCGTCGAATTTAGGCTTGCCTACAGACAATGTATGCACATTCTCCATTTCCTGGGGAGCTTTCCAGTCAGTCGCATAATAAAAATATTATTCATTTATTTTTTTGTTTTGAGAAATTACATTAAATCAAGTCATTCCTTAGTTTCGTTTTCTTTATGCAAAAGACAATTTTATTATTGCCTAATTAATGGGATTACACAATAAATATTAGGTGTTTTATTCAACTTACAGAGCTACAAGGCCCTTAAAAATATCTGTAGGTAAACCTATAACAAGAAGGACTGTTTGATGAATGTTGAATCTCCCTGAAAACAATGAAAATACTTGTTAAATCTGTGACTGTGGTCTGCCCTTCTTCCAAACGTTTAGAGACGTTCTCCCCGTTTATTTTTCCTTTAGATATGCTTTTATCAAATCCGTTCATAACAAACTTTCTTTACTTAGTGATCCCAGGTAACAATGTTTGCTTGTTAAATATGTAAATACGGTACATCCTCCTCCAAACTTTTAGAAATGTCTCTCCTCGTTTTCCTCTACTTCAAATATGCTTTTATCCAATCCATATATATTACATTTCCTTACTTGCTGCTCCCAGATAACGATGAATGTCGGTATGAGAACCCCTGCTACAATGGAGGATCCTGTAACAATGATTTTGGAAATTTCTCTTGCGAGTGTCCCGAAGGGTACACGGGATCACTGTGTGAGATTAACATTGGTAAGTGTACATGTTGGTATGGATTCCTGGTGTCCGTACACTATTGCTATCCTAAGATGGAAATAAGTATGATTGTACGTAGGTAATATCGGACATGAACGGGGAGTAGGCCTTGAAGAACCCGGTAGAAACTGGCGAAATGTCGCGAAAAGAAGTTGTAAGTAATTCCAGTAATTGATTTATAGCATCGCTAACAATTTATACGATACCGGATGAGTCATAATCTTCATGAAAGTAATATCTCAATCATTGAATATAATTTTGATAGGATCGTTGAAAATTAGAAGTCAAATAAACATTTGGCAAGTGCACTACATCAAATCATCTTCTCTGTGAAAAAGCAAAACTGTCAGAATAAGATTTAATTTATCAAATTAAGTATTTAAAAGAAAAATTGTTACCTTTTTTTTTGTTTTGTATTGTTCAAAGTGACCTAATTAAAATAGTTCAAGCTCTGAAGTACATTACATTTCATTTCCTAGATATGGGATGGGTGCGCTGCGGCTAGAGTATAGAGTCCATGAAATGCAATTTTCAATTCGTAGCTATCCTGTCTTTAGTGGACGTATCGTGGTGTGGAGGTTCATTCACTTAACTTTCAATCCAAAGATTGAGGGTTCAAACCCCAGCCCATTAATCCACATTTGCCAATCTCCACCCAGGTGTTAAGGGGTGTCTGTCAATTCTAGATATCTATCAAGGTAGTATCTTCTCCCAGCTTGGATGCTGATTGCAACATTTTGTCCACACATCTCTGTTGGCTGCTATCCTAGTAGACTCTCGCGTTGTAATTCCACTCCATGTCGTGGTGTTCCCCTTCCAGTTAGTTATTGTTTTCCCTCTTAGTCTGGTACCTTCTACTTTTCCTTCCAATAAATCTGCTATGATTATGCAGGACTCTCTTGAAGAACGCCGTGAATGCCTCGGCTTCCTTGGTTAAAAATATTATTACTATTATTTGTATTTTTGTATCACTCTTATGATCATTATCATTATTATTTTATTATTTGTATTGTTATAATTTGTATTACTATTATTATTATTATCATCATTATTATCAATTCATTGCACAGATACCAGCATCACTGTGATAAGACTTGAAGGGAACGAAACCACCGTCATATCTTCACCCGGCTATCCATCCTACTACGACTCGAACCTCGACCACACTTGGTTAATCATGACTCCAGAGGGTCACATCCTCCAGGTACAGATCCTAGACCTGGCCCTAGAGACGGACTACGACTACTTGGACATTGGTTACGGGCCTGGTCCCAATGAACCTGGTTCTTGGGAGCTTCAGAAACTGACTGGGTATAACTATTCCAGTGAACCCGCTACACCCGGTCACTCTATGTGGATCAGGTTTACCACGGATGTCTCAAGGGGCGATATCGGCTTCAGTCTTCGTGTCACAGCTATACTAAACCCTGGTAATTAAGATAATATTATCCTAGGCCTGCTTCTGCTTTAGAGGTGTCGTGGTCTAATGGATACGTCACCGGACTGTGGATCACATGGTTTGATGTTCGAGTCCCGCCGAGGCACTATGTACTTTGGCAAGACATAGTCTAAATTAACTACTATTCATCCAGGTGTAGCAGATGGGAACCGGGTAGAAATGTATTCCTTGAATAGTTTGAACGCCTTTGAATAGGGCAACAGGGCTAAAAACCAGGGATTTAATTTTACTTTGTTTGAGCTTTCTCTGGGATGAATTTGCGTGCAATATAAATGAAGCTATTCTACTTATTATTACTACTAAGTTAAGTAATATTATTCTTATTGGCAGCCCATAGACCACACGGGGCATGCAATAAGATATGATGCGACCCGTCAACCTCGGGGGGGGGGGTGGGGGGGGGGGGAGTACTCGCTTAATACGGTATACGGGGATGTGCCGCTCTAATGGGTTACTTTTTTGTCAAAAATTTAAAAGTCAGGAACGTATCTCGCTATAGTGAAAATTCCAAATGCAAAGTCCCGCAAATTCTTTTTAAAACGATTTCGCTTTTTCATCCAAAGTCCTCGCCGATAGTCGTACAGATTTATCAATATCATTAATTTGAGCACCGCTTCTGACTAATTTATAAATGGGTAATCCCACCCCCCCCCCCCCCCCCCCCCGAGCGTACCAAAACAAAATTCTGTGTAAGCTATACACAAAGGATCACAACTTAGCCTATGCCACTACAACTTCCGGGTACATCTTTCTGAAAGGAGCATGGAACTTGCTTTCTAGACGCGCCATAAGATAACGAGGGGGTAGGAATTCTTCAGAAAAGACCTCCCCCCCCCCCCCCACACACACATTTTGAATGGAAGTCCCTAATAATGTGAACAATTTTTTGCCAAAATGACCCTTAAAAATGAGTTTGGGTTTACACACTTCAGCCACACATCCCGTCCAAACCAAATCTGAGTAACCCCCCCCCCCCCCCCGGGCCATCAACATTAAAAAAAATCGCCCCCCCCAAAAAAAAAAAAAACATCCGCTGCTGTAAGTGGATACGTAATATATCACAGGTTAGTAACGCATCAAATATTTACCTCCCTCGCTCAAATTAAAAGTCAATCGTGTTATATTATACCTAGTATGCTTAAAACAAATCAATTCATCAAAGATGAAAGTAAGGATATTGATTATCCTTTTTTTTCTCATATGAAGCAGGAGGGAAAACTTTCCATATTGTTTAAAGGGACTGGGTAACATTGTTCAGATGAGAGATAGTGGTTCTAAGGTAGTGACTTCAATGCTAGATGTTCAATTAAAGATAATCTGAAAATTTGAGTGAAAACGGACCATTATTCATGGTACAAATTGGAAAAAACTGATCTGATCGATTCCTTAATTCTCCCAACTAGGTCTAGATCTAGATCTATAGAACAATTTAATTACATTTTAGGTGAATGGAAATCTCACAAAGCAATAAAATGGCTCTACATTCCATTCCAGACATTTAAGTGTTGACAGATTTTTTATAGCCTGTTTTATGTCTTTTTTTCATGGAAAAACGGTTGGGAAAATTCAAAAATGTTTGGGAGAATTTATTGTTAATCACTGTTAGAGGGTGCCTCACATCGACGCCTTCACAGAAAACCATAGATATCTTTGTGGTTTGAGAATTTGTTCAGGATTTTTTGCCTGTCAGAGGGTTAGTACAGTAGAAGGAATATAGTAAGTTACATTTTATACAAAAATTAAGCAATTTTTTTCATCAACCTTCAACAATGTTACCCAGTCACTTTAAAGTGTAATACGCAGAGGCCTTCAAATATAATTTTAGAAATATTCCTAGCTCGCCTGATAATTTCCCCAAAACAACTGACCTAGATTCTATGCTTACAGAAGCTGATGAAGAAAGGTAGGCCTACGAGACAGTTAAGAACAGTTATGTTTTAAAAGATATTCCCAAGTAATCTGATGAAACTTACTTGTATATTATAAAATTGAGGTCGTGCCTCGATCATAATATATTTTTTTCCAGAGTGATTATTTCAATCATGCTTAAAAAAATGTTCCATTAGGGCCCCGTCTCAAAAAGAGTTGGGATTGATCCGAATCCATCGCAAGTCCTCCTATCAATCTCAAGTTTGCTGTCTCCTATCTCTTATGTACATACCTGCGATTGATATCAATGGCAAACAAGTTGCGATTAATATCAGCTCTTTATATGACGGGGCCCAGACGTTATATTGCTATTCAAAATCTATCAGTTAGAATCCACGATAACAAATCGTTTACTAGAATTGATATTATTGAGATTATCTAAATTTCGATGCTTTGAATATTTAATGACAGGATGCAGCAGCGGACAAATCCAATGTTCAAGTGGATTGTGTATCAGCGAATCGGCAAGGTGTGACGGAAATAATGACTGTCTCGATTTCTCAGATGAGGAATACTGTCGTAAGTTTGGATTTAACGTTTACATTCGCTTCTCAATTAATTCCTATCATTATAGTTAGCCTACCTAAAATCTACACTTCGCTAAATTGTATAGCACACTTATCTATACATTTTTATGTTATATCTAGGCCTATATATTCAGGGATTTTCTATATTTCTGGATTCTATTTTAGTTTTTTTTTCTTCCCTGAGTTTTTATTTACCAGTTCCCCAAACACATAAAGTCTTTCATGATCTTCAGCCGTCGAATTATTTTGATGTCTCTTTTTTGTTGCTGTTATTGTGTCTATATGTTGTCTGCTCTCCTGATTTCTCTGATATGTTATCGCTGCTTTTCACCCTTCATTCATCTATTTTTCGCCCACCCAGCGTACTGCGAACAAGTTCAATTTGACATATGTAGACAGAACCTGGCCTACAATTTGACGTTTTTCCCGAATCGGAACGCAGAGACAGCGGACGCTGCGGCGGGAAACTTTACAGAAATTGTAAGCAACGGAGAGTTTTTCCGATGCTTTATTTAAACAAATATTTTTCAGTTGATTCTTTATTAATGGTGGGTTATGTCGAGCTTGTCGATGATTTTCATAGATAATGCCAGGAACGATTAATTTATTAGTTTTAACTTCAGTAAAACATTGTCCTTCTACGGGTATTGACCCGTATATCAACCAATGAATTTGATATTTGTTTATACGCATTAAATAATATTTTTGTTTGTATAAGTGATTCATTTCGAAGGGATATGTACGGTAACAACAACAGGCCCACAAAAGGGTGTATATAACAGACACGTAACGACCAAAAATATGCTGGAGATCTTTATTTAATGTAATATTTATTGTTTGTCTGAAAATACATTATTTATGTTACATTCATCGGTACGAGGTCCCCCGTACCACTTGCAAGAGCAGTTGGCTTCACTGTTGATGTTGATGTACCGTACACATCTACGTTGCAATTGCCTTTGAAAATCCTGACGTGAAATCCTCAAAGTTTATACTTTCTAATGATCTACTATAGGAAGCTGCTATATCATCGTGCCATGATCACCTGTTCCCTTTCATGTGCTCCGTTTACTATCCGGAATGCACCCATAATGGCCCCACCCATCGGTTGTGCTACTCCGACTGTTTGGCAGTCACTGATGCCTGCAAGGCATCCTTTGAGCAACTCCTCGACCGTCCTTGGCCCGTCAACTGCTCCACGTTGAACGATGAACAGGAGGAAGATGGGAGCTGTTTTGGCCCTGCGGGAGGTAAAGACCATGCATACATGTTAATGATATCGAATTAAGAATATGCTTGGAATTAATAAGATCCACTAAGTGTTTAAAAATAATAATTCATAAAACAGAAGAAAAGATGTCAGCATTTTCTATTGAATTCATCACATGTGGCAGTGGCGTAAAGCTAATGAGATAGGGATGGCGGCACTGATCTTACTGCCAAGTGGGTTTTTAGAGAAACATGAAATTCACCAATCAAACGGGAGGGGTATTCAAAGGTTGTCTATCATCTTCTTTGGGCATCCTTTTCCCTCCCCTTTTCATTTTATTTTCGATTTATGCTAGTTTTGTTTTATTTGCTTGGGGGGGCGCAAAGGGGTGCTATTCGAATTGGGTGGTTGTGCCTTCCCTTCCCGTCGTTGTGCCACTGACATGCGACTTTATCCCCCTGCAGATCTTTTCGATACCAACATATGCGGGACACGCCCTGCATACGCCCCAGACCAATCCAGGGTTGTTGGTGGTATCAACGCACGCCCAGGGGAATTCCCTTGGATTGGTTCACTCCGCATCGAAGGATTGGACTTTGGAGGACATTTGTGTGGGTCTACATTGATCAACTCTCAGTGGGTTCTTACCGCAGCTCACTGCGTGTAAGTATGATGCCACTAATCAACTCGTTTGCTCTGTGGAAATGAAAATTAAATTTACAACTTGACTCAACCAGGGATATTTACTTAGTACAATTGTTATAGTAGCGAACGTGTTTATCTCTAGATGATATTTCGCCCTTGTAAAAATTACTTTTTTACACCCCATATCATTTATAGTTATTACTACGTCGATCGTGTGGTTTTTGGGAACGCACATTTGACAGATGACTCCGACAACGAGGTATCTGTCGAGATGGCTGATATTTTCGTCCATCCCGAGTACGACCCCTATTTCCTCCTCAACGACATCGCTCTGATACGCCTTGCTGAACCGGTGACATTCAGTGACTACGTTAGACCCGCGTGTCTGGCGGAATCCTCGGATGAACTCAAGGACTATCGTCGCTGTCTCGTTGCTGGATGGGGAGCTACACAGGAAGGCTCACGTATGCATTGTTTTGTAAAGCGAGGTTCCCAGATGAAACGATGTGTGTGTGTGTGCGTGTGTGTGTGTGTGTCCTTAAATGCAATACGATTTCCTAAGTTTTATCCGGGTACCGTTATCACCTAACAGTGCATTTCAGTGTATAGATTACACCAATACCCATTCACTACGCCTGGGTCAAGAGAGGCGACTGAAAATGAAATATTTTATCTATGGATATGCCCAGCGGGGAGAGATTCAAACTGTCAACCACTCTTTTTAAATGTCATGTGAATCAATAACTACACCACTGTGTTTAACTATTTAGTGCTGATATAGGTTGCTCCATTCTTACAGGGGTTATTGAAACAGTACACTAGGTTATCTGATTGAAAGGAATGTGACATCCGCATGCCCCTTTCAAATTGAGAAGCTTTTTAACATCCTTTTCAGATTTTCTTGATCACGTAGGCCTGAAAGTTCATAACGAATTTAATTTCACCCACTTAATTTGATTCGCATTCTGACAATTGAAATACAATTACGCGTAACATCTAAATGAAATACTTTGTAACGAAGCACTTAACAACGATTTGTGCATCAAATTTGATAACTTTACGAATACTATCTATTGTGATTATATATTGCATTTTAATTATTAGATAGTCACAAAATTAAAAATCATGCTAGATAGTAGTGCTACAAGATTTCGACCTTTTAATAGCGGGAGCACTCATCTCTTTTGAAATGGTTTAAAACTTTTGATGACAATTAAACTTGAAGTTCGTTTGCTTACAGAAGATGTACACGATGATTTCTTTTAATCTTTTACAGCGTTGACAGTGAGCTTAAAGAAAGCAGTGGTGAACCTCCTTCATCGAGACTCGTGCAATTCTGAACTTTCCTACAACGGGAATGTGACAGAAGAAATGATTTGTGCTGGATATGAACAGGGCGGCATTGATACTTGTCAGGTAACTGCTATCCATGGCGTAGCCTGGCCTTAGCCATGTAGTGGGGGCGGCGGCATCGGACATAATAGGCAACCAAAAGGAGGTTTAAATGCAAGAAAATACTACTAACTAGTAGTACTACTACTACTACTACTTCTACTACTACTTATTATGATCATATTAATATTGATAATAATAACAACGAAAATAATTAAAATCTAAAAGTATAATATCAGAAATGATAACAATACTACTACTAATTAGTATTATAAATCTGGATTTATATTGGACGAAATACCGTCTGTTACCACTTTAAAGATATTATTATCCCGGTCACCAGATTCATTCATCCGCCAAATTTGCAGCATCTCCATTCCATGAGGAGTATTCTTACCATACGGTCACCGTGAGGGCAAATGGCTATTTCTATCACTAGGGCTTCGTGCTTCTATAATGTCCCCAGTCTCTTCTGAGTGGAATGAAAAATGTCGATAAACATGCCGTACCAAAGGACATTAATGCTTTGCCGGGGGTCGAACCCATGACCTTTGATTTCCAAGTATAGTGCTCATACCGTCCTCCTACGACAGTATGGACTGAGGGGGGAGGAGGAGTATTGGATTTGCTAATTATCTTTAATTCCCCCCAAGTTGTGTTTCTCCTTACCCGTCATATCTATATTTGTTTCATTTGACCGGATATTTGGGCTGTAACCCTGTTTTTTCACTTAGTGATTTCCAATGTTATAACATTTTTGTCTTGGTTTCAGAATTTTAAGTATCCTATGAATATATCAAATGTCAAAGTTCCTAGTACTTTATTCGAAAACGACACCTGTGTGTGGTCCTATGTAGCATAATTCGTTTGGTTTGCAAGTCATCCAATCAAATTTACTCTCTCGTGTTTATAACCAAAAAAAATCAGGGAGACAGCGGTGGGCCTTTGACCTGTGAGGGTGATGATGGTCGATGGCATCTGGTAGGAGCAACAAGCTTTGGATATGGATGTGCAAGACCACTCTTCCCGGGTGTCTATACCCGAATCTCACAGTTCCAGCCATTTATTACAGCTGTGGTTTCAGGAGGTAAGTACACATGTGCAGGAGAAACATGATCAGATGACTTTCGGCATGAACAACATCAACAAAAAACACGGCAATTTCAAAAGCTTTGTCCATCACCTATTGATATGTGCTTACATTAAAATGGCGTATAACGTAATCCGATAATTGAAAATATGATTCATGGGTACTACATAATCGGAAAATCGCGTTGAAAACAGCCATACTTAAGCAATTCGTCCTGCACTCGTCAGAGTTAAACGCAAGAATGAAACAGAAAGCCGAAATCGAACAATATAAACGGAAACTAAAAGTAACGAGGCGTGAATATAACGAGCTCTGATTGGCTGTCTAAGGTAACGGTAATCCGATAATTTTCTACATGCCATTAAAAGTGCCGTTGAATTAATTTCTCAAAATACTTTGCGCTTGTATGGAGACCACTTTGGCTAAAACATGACCTATGAATGTATGTACGACTGGCCAATAGCTTTTTGAAGTTTCTGTTTTCCATTAATGTATAATGATCATCTGGCCATTTGACCGTAAATGAAATGACCATCTGGCCAGTATATCAATCAGCCCTTTGAGAGGAGTCAACATTCTTCAGATTATAAGTTCACAGTAATCATACTTTAAAGTTCAATTTTCCGTCTTGAAATTATGGTCTCAAAAAATATGTTTTGGCGTTTTTCATTGGATTTTTTTAAAATCATAAGTATTCTGGTGATATTTATATTTCTTTCAGCAATAACACCAGGTATTAATGAAATCACCCTTGAGCGTGCCGTCCCAGTGACCATCACTTCTCCAAACTACCCTTCTGACTACAACATCGGTGATAACATCGTCTGGCAAGTATCGGCTCCTGTCAACCACAGCGTCAGGCTGGACATCGTCGACTTCGCTACCGAATTAGACTTCGACATCTTGTTTGTGGGCGATGGACTGACGCCACTGAGTTACACAGAGCTTGCGAGGCTCACGGGCTATGGGTTAAGGTCAACTGTGACGTCACATGGCCGCCATATGTGGCTCAAATTCTCCAGTAGTTACGAACTTACTGACGTTGGATTCATGGCAACACTGAACGCTGTGGATCCGAGAGGTAATACGATTCGTCTTTGTACCATGGTGAAATACGGGGGATTAAGAATCTTCAGAATGATCAGATGGTTTTATAATATAACAAACATACAATTTCTTAATTTATTCTGTTCTGTCTTTTTTTTTAAAGACAAAACATGCCTGTATTTCTGACACATTTATTGTTTTAATCCTTTTTTGGTAACAGATGATAATCCTCTAATCTTGGTGGACGAGTCTACGGTCCAACAGCTCCGCTCACCAGACATACCTCTTGATGCAAGCGACAGCGTGCACGAGATTTGGCGGATAATGGCTCCTCGGGATCACAGCGTGAGGGCGCGTTTCGACTTCTTCAACCTCACCGAATCTTCTTCGCTCACCGTGGGCTACGGCTCGAGTCCTATAAGATTCACAATCCTAGTGGAGTTGACTGGAAGTGAATTGCCTGAAGATATTACCTCCCCCACTCGAGAATTGTGGTTTAGATTTGTGTCGGATACTGGGGACTCCAGTAGAAGGAAACGAAGAGAGGCGTGTTCGCTTATGGGAAGTGGATTCTTGGTGAACCTAACAGCAGAAAGGACCGAAGGTGAGATCTGTCTTTTTTTCTTTGATTAAAACATTAATAAACTGATTCATTATTCTATAAAAAAAACATGAAAAACTCTTTTAATTTCGAAATACGTTGAAGTAGTTTTAAAAGAGCAGTTTTCTGAAGAAAAAAGCACGACAGTTAATTAAGTAACAAATAAGAGAAACAAATAAAACGTCATTGATCTTTATCACTTCATTACAGTCGTAAAATCCACGAGGTATTTTGCTAATGTCTTGCTTTTTTTCACCAAATCACCAAAATATCAGACAATATAGCCATTTTGAGGTGAAAGAATATCAATATTTTCATTACTTTCACTAAATGATCAATGGTACTTCCAGATATCAACGAGTGCCTGAGTAACCCTTGTGAGAATGGAGGCACGTGTTCAGACATCGATGGAGGTTACCAGTGCTTCTGTCCCGAAGGCTTCAAAGGGGATTACTGTCAAACAGGTATGTCTCCCCCCTCATAATTACAATATTAATTTTCCGTTCTGGTAAATCGCGTATCCCATAATGATAAAACCTTTATATGCGCTCTTAATGGAAACTCTTTGGATACTATCACCCCTTCTTTAGCTCAAGGAGTAAATCCTGCCTGGTATCTACTTCCTACATCAGGGTCAAATGTAGATTAATGTCTTGCCTAAGTACATTTGTCCTGTAACAGGCATTCGAAGCTCGTACTTTGTGGTTCACAGTCCGTTAAAAACATCGAGTACAACACAACACCTCTGCATAACACGTTGACATCATTACAAATTTGAGTTTCTAAATCGTTTCAATGAAATACAAGCAAAATAGTCAACATTACCGTTGCGAACAAAATCAATTCATAAATATAAATATATTTACATGTATACATATTTATATTTATAAATAATTGGCAGATTGAAGTACCTATATAAAAATCAAGACCAACATGTTTTGGGAAGAGCACTATACGATTTTGTGTGTGATGTGAATGCTTAATTCGTACACTATTAAATTATATATTAGTTCAGGGCGTGTCAAGAATGTTGGTGTAATAGAGGGTCATAACGACCCATCTACGAATAAGATAGTCATACTAACATAAACCGAATCATTATATAGGTAGTTTTAAACGTCTAGTTGTTGGTTTTTGTTAAGCGCAAAGACTTAATACTTGAAATCAACTCATGTGATCGTGTTTTTAATCAATCTCTTCTCCCGGTCTTTTCTGCAGATGAGTATGAGTGTCAGAGCAATCCGTGCCAAAACAATGCTACCTGCGAAGATGGAATAAACACTTTTACTTGCCAATGCCCGAATGGTTTCACTGGACTGTATTGCGAGACTATCTTTGGTAAGTACGTTTGCGTATTCCATGCATTATGTAAGCATGATAAGTAGTAACAGTAGTAACAACAGATTGGTTGTGGGGGGGGGGGGGGGGGGGGGGGATGGGTGTTCTCTGCTTTGACCACCGAATGTTACAGAAAGAAAATTTATATTAGCTCCCTATATGAAACTGTGTAATTTAATATGGTTTCATATGACTTGTAATGCCAAGGTCAACGTAATGCTTAATGTTTCAGCTTCTTCCCTAACTTAGCGTTTATGTTAAGGGTCAGGGTTAGGTACAGGAGACTGTCTATGGTTGAAGTAAGGAACTTGGTTAGTGAAGGAAATTACCGCGGAGCAGTTGGCATACGAGCTTGATTCATACAATCTTGACTGAACTTGTTTCTTTACAGATGTATGTTTTGGAGATCCCTGTATGAATGGTGCTACGTGCATGGAAGTAGGGCAAGGATATCAATGCCAGTGTGCCTCTGGTTTTACAGGTTCACGTTGCGAAACAGGTATTTTTATTTATTTATATATATATATTTATATATTATTTAAAACTATTTAGGAGTGAGGTTAAACATCATACGTGACCTGTGAGTGACATCAATTGTAGATTTCTTGTTGTCGACAGAATATTAATTACTAAGTACAATAAGTAACGGTTAACAGGTTCGAAACCCGCCGCGGCACTAATGTCCTTTGGCAAGACATTGATCAAATAAGATCAATAAGCGCTATGTACAAACTGAGTATTATTATTGTTATTATACAACCTTGTGTGAACTTGTTTCTTCACAGATGTATGTATTGGAGATCCCTGTATGAATGGTGCTACATGCATGGAAGAAGGGCAAGGTTATCAATGTCAGTGTGCCTCTGGTTTTACAGGTTCACGTTGCGAAACAGGTATGTTTATTTATTTATTTACATATTTATTTATATATTATTTAAAACTATTTAGGTGTGAGTTTAAACATCATACGTGACCCGTGAGTGAGATCAATTGTAAACTTCTTGTTGTCGAAAGGATATTAATTACTAATTACAAGAAGCAACTGTTAACAGGTTCTAAATAAGTATAAGTAGTGGTGGTTATTTTACCTGACTGTTAAGAAAGCATAAATGCTTGTCAGTAAGCAACCAGGACACCGACGGCTTTAGGTCCTCTCCGAGTTGAATTTACTGGAAGTAGATAGACACTCTTTTATATGGCATTGGAAATTGCATTGCAAATAATACGTAAATTATAAATACGTGGTTTAAACTTAATTTTTATTTTGCCCTTGACCTGTACCTTTTTTCGATCAGAGTCATATCAGCTTACATTTAACCGATTGTATTTGCTGCAACCATTTTTCAATTAAGTTCAAAATTAAATGTCAATCGGAGGAAATCCATTCCCAAGGACGTGAATAAGATATATAGTACGCTCTTTTAAGAACTAGAAGGATAATGTTCCAAATGATTTCATTGTACCTGACTGCTAGCCTGTAAGAAACTGTTATTTCTTCGTATTATCTAAGATATTTGGTAAGCGATAATTAATAAATTACGAAAGGGAACAAGCATATTGACTAGGTTTTCAAACCTTTTTCGAACTGTAGCCTGTGAGACGGATCTACCCCGAACCATCATGCCTTCATAAATTATTGATTGATTGATTTTTAAAATGGAAAAGGTTATTTTCACAGCCAAGTAGTAAATTAAATTGCAATATTATCTGGATTTGAGTACATTCATCTTTGTCCTTTTTCAGAATTTGCATGCGGCAGCAATCCCTGCCTAAATGGAGGGTCTTGTATACAGAGCGGGTCCGTGTATGCGTGTCGCTGTGCCACAGGCTATACCGGACAGAACTGTGAAAGTGTAGTGATAGGTAATTGTTTTGTAAAACAACAAGTTTGCATGGCGAGAGGATAAATTAGAGAAAGCATTCGCGGTACAATGATGTGGGTAGGCCTTAAAATGACTGTGTTGTAATCTGTCGTGATAATTCAGAAGTCCTTGAAAGGACTGAGATTTAATTGTTGTTACAGTTTACAGCTACCCTTGAAGTGAAAATGCAGAAACTGTCTTATGTTGGGGTTTTGTATGCATTCTGGTTCAGTGGTTTACATACAGATTTAGTCAGTATCGTATATGTTTATTGTATAGGCCAGGCTGCAACAATAAAGTTATATTTAACACAATATTCGTGATAATATGTCATTTTAACCGATGGAACACTTACAAGGTAGCATCTGATTCTTTTATTCAGCACAGTTCAATTTCGCTTGACTAACTAATAACGTCATAAAAGAGAGTGTAACAAAGTTAGTAAGTAACGTTTATAGAATCAATAGTGTTAAAGCATCCTTTAAGCATGACTCCGAAGTCGACTCAAAGAAGCAGGGGGCGATTCCCGGGTCAGTTTCCGATTGTGTCGACTCAATTTTTGACTAGTCTACTTAACGAAAAGTTAACTTGAAGTCATTTTAATATTCACAATTTCAAATGCAAGAAACGTGAAAGATATTTTACTAAAAGATTAAAGATGGATTGTTGTCTGCTTTGCCACTAATTTTTCTGCTGCTTTCCTGTTTTAATATAGATCCTTGTCAGAGTAACCCCTGCGATGGTGCGGCTATGTGTGAAGTATACGGGGGCAGTTATAGATGTGTGTGCAGACAGGGCTTTACATGGTACAACTGTGAAATTGGTAAGCTTATGAATCTATACACAACCAACAGATCAAATGTATTACTTACGGGTTGAAGAATAGTATATTATTCACTTTTCTCACAATGACAGGCAGGGTAATCCTTAAACGAAGCCTGCACAAACGACATTCATTCTTCTAGGAATGGGGTCACTTCGTTTTTGTAATAGTTTTAACTCTTTTCATGTTGGAATCCACTCTATTGAAACTGCACTATTTTAAGTGTAGACTTTTTCACTCAAAAGGAATTCATCTTCAATTTGACTCCGAAAAAAGTGGATTCCCACTCTTGTACATTAACAGAGTAAGCTCGTATTATCCCAGGATTTTCGACATTTAATGATTTTTATTATTTAACCCTTACTGTACTGGGCTATTTTGAGCACCCACTGACTGGGGGGGGGGGAGCCTGGGAGGCCCCCCCCCCCTATGATCTCGGCCGTCGATTGTCCGATGAACACGAAATTTTGCATGTTTGTAGATATTTAAGTAAGGAACAAGATGGTATAATTATTTTTCCCGAATATGCAAATTTTTGTCGTTAGCCTAATTAATTATACAAAATGCGTTAATTTTATGCATTTTACAGAAAACGTGTCAAACTCCACTTTTTGAATGTTGAAACTCATTATTCATATGAAACTTCTTTTCTAACACAAAAAAATTATTTTATTGTAATTAATAATGATAATTTATGCAAATTTTGATGCAATTTTTTTTTTTTTTTGATGACATGCGCATACTAATTGTTATGTAACGCCTTACAGGTATATCCAATTTCGACGAAAATGGTATCAAAATGTGCGTAAGACTTGAGGGAAAAAAGTCATGAAACGACAATTCAAAATTCCAAGCGGTTGCGGCGCAATCTCCGAAAATGTCGAGGGGGGGCCTCCCAGGCCCCCCCCCCCCCCAGTACAGTAAGGGTTAAGAAGTGACATGATAAAATATACATATACAAATCACACAAACTTATAAACTGAAATAAGATGACAATCTTAGAAGACGCACCAAATTGAATAATACGTACATTCTTTGTTTCTTATTCAGTAATTTTATGTTGCAACGGTATCGATATAACAAGTATACATATACAAATATATAAAATTTATATTTATAAGATCGTACCGCACGTGCAGGGGCGGGTTGTGACTGAAATTCATTTTGGGAATGAGATGCAACCGGCTCATCGATAAATATCAACCGGCCCTAAAACCACAATGTAACCGACTCTCAGGCCAAAATATTGAGGTTCCCCTTGGGAGCAATCTCCAAACTTCCCCATGGCACACCCCTCTAACTCTGCACATTTCTCCAAACTTACCCATGGCACACCCCTCTAACTCTGCACATTTCTCCATACTTACCCATGGCACACCCCTCTAACTCTGCACATTTCTCCAAACTTACCCATGGCACACCCCTCTAACTCTGCACATTTCTCCAAACTTACCCATGGCACACCCCTCTAACTCTGCACATTTTATAAAAGAATTTTAATCACAATGAAATTCCAAATTTTCATACTCATCTAGATGTGAACGAGTGTTCAAGCCTTCCTTGTCAGAATGGAGGGCGCTGTATTAACGGTCAGGGCCGGTACACCTGCACATGCCGTCTAGGATATTCCGGCCTGAACTGCGAAAAAGGTAAATATGTTGATCACATGACTAAAGGCATGAATGTTTATCTTACAGTGCTCTACAAGTTTGACGTATATGTCACTCTATTTCAAACGAAAGATAACGATTTCTAATTAAATATCCAATCAAATAAGAAGATATGCAATGCCATAAAAACCTAATATTAGCATATGAAAAACCTCATAGCCCCCAAATTACATAATAATTTCTGATGACTCACATTAAGGCAGATAACAACTTTCATTGTTAATATATACCAATATTTTGGTGCTCATAAGTATTTAACAACTAATGGGTGTATCCCGTTTTTATTTGTGTACGTTTTGTTCAGAAGATATTGAATCTTTTAGGAATTTATTTTGGGGAGGCCCCTTAACATGTCGATTCTTAAAAGATTTTGAAAAAAATGAAATAGAGTTAACATCTAATAATTTAATCTTTGGCATCCCAGGTGGAAATATTCCTATTTTATTTTTGTTAGTATGCAAAGTATCATATATTTTCAACTAGACATTTTATCATTTCCATTTTTTCAAAAATAAACAAAAAACAAAACAATAATTAAATTGAACAAACAATCTATGCTCAACATTTGCTCATAAATTGGTTTATACATTGAGAAAAATTGAATAAATACTTTATTTGGAAAGAAAAAAAACGCAAAAAAAAAAAGATTTTCATTTCTCTAGCGAATCACCATCAACATCACATCTGTGATGGGCATAAAGGTTTTGATACGAGCTCTTTAGTAGCCTCATCGCAATAACCTTTTCCAAATAAACATATATGTAATATTGACAATCTAGTCGTTTACAAACTGATTTGCTGTTATTCCCTAAACTGTGTAAATGTCTTCTTCAATTCAATAGTTGGTTACTGTGATTTAGACGGGGAGTGGTACAATGATTGCAATGACAAGATAACCATCGCGAAAACATCAACCGGTCTTCTTCTTGGAGATTATATGACCAATGAAGAGATCCTTCTTGGCTCCTCAGGTAAGACCGTCATTCCCTTTAGCATTTTCACTCGATCATGTTGGCCCACTAAGAGACCATTTTGTAATGCAGACAAACTTAAGTTATATGAATAGCAAGTGTGCTCAAACAGGGTCCTACCCGAATTCACAGAGCTCCGTGTTATAAGAAAAATATATGTGAAGCGTATTACAATAACGTCATCATAACAATTATAAAAAACGCCGCTGTTTACTGCGGCAAATCTGAACAAGGTTTGCTGCATGCCTTTTCCTAAAGTACTTTGCAACGAACTATGTTTGTATTCGCATTATTATGATATTATTGTATTTTATGTAATCATTGCATAATTTTCATCGGAAATTACAATATCTGGTTAAAAAGATATCATAGTATCAATTCTTGGTGATTTACTTTTTTTTTCTTCTGTAAAACAAACAATCAAATTGGACTACTATACACTTTCACAGTCGAATAGCTCAATCATGTTACATTTGTACGCGGCATGGTAGAGAAATTGACACGGCACCTAAAATTTAAAAATAGGGGGAAAAAAGCATTTGCCTAATTCTTGAATATAATTTTTTTAATAATAATTTAATTACTGACAAGAAACATACAACAGCATCAAATTGGTAAAGTGTGTTATAATCATAGTAGGGTTTCTCTTAAAAACAGGTCCTTCGTGGTTCTGACTGGAATCACTCTCAATTGTAAAGAAATGTTGAATGAATAAATGAATGAATGATTGAATGAATTAATTGATTAGTGTTGATTTTTTTCTTCTCATCTTCTCGTAGCGCCCACAGTTGTGGTGGGTTACGCCAACCAGAACAAGGACTTCCCTACCTTCGGGTTCTTGGTAGGTAGGGACAATGGGTTATCAACTACCAGCTGGTCCGGTCAGTGTCACTTTTGTGACGGGGAAGAAGTCCTGTATACGACCTGGACCAACACCCGCCAAGTCAACACGTGTTTCGAAAACAAACGATCGACACGGTAAGATCTCAAAATTTCACTTTCGTATAATAACACAAACAGAAATAATGATGTAAAGAGGTGGGGAACTTTTAGTGTATTATTCATTAAATTTTAAACAATCAGCTGCGCCATTGACTTAGGATAATTTGTTCTTACCTGTTGTTCCGAAATGATTATGACAATATGACTGATTCTTGAAAGATAAAGTTTATATCTACAATCTCTATGACTCTTTCGATTGATTGATCTATAAAGTTCGGAGACGGTATAAACTTTAACAATCAAGAATATATCATATTGTCAAAATCTTTTCATGAAAAGAGGTTTAACAAACTGTATTCCAATTTGATGGGCAACCGTGTATGTCTTTCTATTTTTTTTACTCAGTGTGTTTTCTCAAGGCGAAGTCTACCTTGACATTAACTTGAAAAAAAATAATGGTGGACAAATAAAAAAATTTAAATGCGCCATTTATTGAACAAAGCACCATACGATTCCAGACATCAGCTTAAAAGTACAAAAGGGTTTATAATCCGCATGCTAATAGAGAGCGCTCATGAACAGAGTCCATTAAAAATATGTTGATAAAAAAAAAATCAACTGAACACATTTGATTTAAAACTCCGTCAAAGATTAAGTAAAAAATGGTTATGACTTGTATGAAGTTTTACAAATAAGTACACAAACTGGCCACTCTACAGTGCGTACAAAAAAGGACACACTTTGAAAGTTTCGTCCACAATTTTGATTTCATGATATCCGCATGATTTTTTCTTTATCATGGGTGAGGGTCGATTCAAACGGATAGCACTAAAAGTACTGACAATATTTTGCGCTTGAGTGAACACTGACAAATTTCGAAAAACTTGTGAAATTTGGTTTGCGCAAAAATGTATCAGTCCTGTTTTTGAACATCCCATTTGTTTAATTTGGCTGTGCAAGGATGACCAATTCACTCCACTCATTTTCAAGGCGTGGAAAGCCTGAGCACCGTTTTATATGTTATACATATCTTTATTAGTGACCTTGTTCTCTTCTTCAATTTTTAGGTTGGGACAAGATAAATGGACTCGATACCCTCAGGACATAGCACCACGAAGAGACATCTAGACAAGAATATAATCATTCAGTAAAACAGTGGTGAAGCGGGGGCCTCTGGCATTACTGGGATGGGCATCAGTTTTATTTGATGGATGACGTGTATTAAATCTTCGAGGCTACATAGGAGAGGGAAATGAGGCAATAGTCTTTATATCTTCTTTTGACTTTCCCTTTCCCCTTCTCCTTTTCTTTCTTTTTTCCGTCGTGTCCCCTGTATCTTCACCATAGAACAGATTTGTTCGTCAAAGTCATGAAAATGATATAGAATACGGGAAAATCGATATATGTATATATATATTTGAAACCTCACTACTTTCGAATATTTGCCATGTGACAATGTGGCTGATATCTGATTGGCTCAAAGTACTCAACCATAACTTGATCAAACTTGTTCACGATTGATGTTATTATTGATATTAATTATAACATATCAAACTAATTTCCCAAAATCACATGAACTACAATGATGAAACTTGGTCAGGTTTTTTTCTTCAATACTGACATTAATACAATATATTGCTTTTTCTATTACGGTAATAGGGTTTAATCCCCTCAAAATTACGCCAATTTGTCAAAACATCTGGAATTTTATAGAAAATATACGAGATAATACCGATATTAAATTCCAGATGTTTTGACATTCCCCTATTAAAGAAAGTATATGTCTATATCTTTAAGATAAAATAAATAACATAAAATAATGATATATTCCAGTGTTTACTATACGCCCCTAATTTTGTAGCACCAGTCGTTTCAAAACGCGTCAAGATTACTTTTTCTTTTTTGTTTGTTTGTATTTTATAATATAGAAAGTGTATTTTAAATGTTTCAATTTTTTGGTGATAGAGAAAATGTTATAATATATATAACAATAATATTATTAAATGTTGTCTAATGCATTTGTGTTGCACTCGTTGTTTTGTGTTTATGTTAACATCAGGAGAGTTTTATATCAATACTTGGAGAATTAGATTTTTATATCTATACTTGGAGAATTAGATTTTTATAACTCTGAAATTAGAGTGGGGTGAATGTACACTCTCTCCTTTAACATTTTAATGTGTATAGTGGTTCATGTCCTTAACTTTCAATCGGGAGTTAGAGGGTTCGAATCTTTGTGGATGCGTACAATGTGCCCTCGGACTAGGTATTTGATCAACACTTGTCTCTCTCGACTTTACTATGAACATGTCGTTTTTTTTTGTTTTTTTTTACGAAGGTTCATATTTCACAATGCTCGTTATTCCGAAAATTCTTCACGAAGGTTCGTTATTCCTAAGGTTCGTTGCTCCAAAATTTCGTAATTCTGCAAAAGAAAGAGAGCACACGATTCTGAAGGTTCATAATTCAGAAAAGGCAATATAAGTATGGAACTAAATGTAATTTGTTTTCAGAATTACGAACCTTTGGAATCATGAACCCTATATATTTAATTTTCGGAATTATCAACCTTGTTTCATTTTCACAATTATAGCTAATGTCGGGATACTTATACAAGGTAGTTTTCTAAGTACTTGGAAGCGTACCCGGAAGCGCATAGAAACGGAATATCGTAATGTGATATGCGCCATACAAAACTTAACAATGTATTGTCTTTGATTTGATATTTTACTTAGTTATGCCTTTGCAATTGTACTTGTTGAATACTACTTGTCTTTTTTTCTGTGAAAAAATAAAAACAAATATTAACAGCTGATTGCGTTTTTCTCAATTGTTTCATAATTAAAAATACACAATTTTTTTGTATGAAATTATACAATATATTGTACATTTAATAGGCAACTTAATGGGTAAAGAAGTGGTGATATAATATGTTCATGTATAATTCTTTTTTGTGCTCAATTATAATATATTAGTTGGATAGGGGAAATGCAATGCGTTCAAAAGTACAGTTTACATTACAGGCGATAGGTCTCAGTTTTACCTTAATCCTTAAGGTAAGCCTCATCACCATCATCATCGTCATCATCATCATCATCATTTCAATCATTTCAATCATTTCAATCATTTTCATCATCATCATTATCATGATAAAATTATTAACATCAATACTATTACAATACAAATTGTGCCGCCCTTTTATTGCAAGCACGCGGACATGTGTCCACCCTGAAGTGAAGGCCTACATAAAATATTGAGCATGACATTGTTAGGCCCTATATTAGAGCTATATTAGGCACCTTGAGCATCTCTTGGGGTGGATATGTGCGCATTATAAATGTTGTTATTATTTATTATTATTTATATAACAACATACAATTTGGACTAATTCATATTGAAAACGGAAGTGCAACCTTCAAACATGCACCAAAATCTAAATACTTTCATTCATACTTTTGTCAAATTTTCTAAATAATTGTCAAAACCAGATAATTAAAAAAGAATATATTGCTTAGAAATTGTAGGGAAAACGCTAATCTGGTCAGTCACTGGACCAGTTGTATTCAAGCCCTCAAAAGTGTTGGGCACCCCCTGAAATTTTACAACAAAGTTTCTCACAGATTGCATAATTACATTGAAAAGGATGTAACTTAACACTCAATTCTGCAAGAATGTTTAAAATTGTGTTCAAATATTGAAGGAATAATACAAAATTGAAAACCCCAAAACAACAAACAACCGAAAACTCACATTTTTTCACCAATATTTGCCCTCAAATTTTTCCCCACCATTCTTTACATTCACTAAATACAGTGTGAGCCCAAAAAAGGTTCACACCTAGAAAATTGCTTATTATTTAAAGAATCATCGATGAACAGTAAATTATTATACATTTTAAGAAAGAGTGTTTAATCCCAAATCATTTAGTATCATTTTCGTGTGGTATGTGTTTACGCTTGAATGAACCGGAGGCATTGTTTGCGGGAGTGCAAGAATCGACTTGCGCCAAAGTTGCTTGTGTGATGTTTGAATAAAACGATTGGGATTTGGGTATTAATCCGGTCTTTGCAGATCAAAAAAACATCCCTAACAAGCTTAATCATGCCACACATATCACATATCAAATATCAAATAACATTTGTGCGTGTGCGTGTGTGTGTTGTGTGTGTTTGTGTGTGTGACTTTTCTTCTGCAAAATGCAATGCATCTCATTTGATAAATTCAATTAATTCTCTCACTTTAATACTTTTGCTCAAGTCGATTTTTGCATATGATTTACCTTCTGGTCTTTAATAACACAGAGTTCAGTGAATATGCGCCTCGTTTGAGTTGCACCTTCAGTTGTCATTCTTTTCAACCGTTAAAAACAAATAATAACCACAGCAGTTTTTTTGTTGTTGGGGGGTTGACTGAACGAGCCTGAACGAAAAATGGGGTACACAGAGCCATCTTTACACAGATCAGTGGCTTGGTTACCTTAAAGGTAATATAAAGTGTTGACATGGGGACATGGATTTGTTTAAAATGTATATATTTGAAGCATCTGCGATCCAACATAAGCGATCGTTATCACACTTGATAAACAAGGCTAAATAGATGAAAATGTAAATAATAAACTCATTATCAAATTGGCTACGGCGCCTTCTCTAGAAATATTTGTTTAAGGAATATATTTTTAAGTACGAACGTATTTTTTGTTAGGATTTGTTTTATCATTGTGATTGGACATTTAGTAATACAGACAGTTCGAAGGATTAAGAGTGCCGAGTGCAATATATACTTACTCCTATACTCTGTGATGTTTCAGAAAATGTGGGCATTTGGTCAGTTACCCCCCTCCCCCCCCCCCCCCCCCCCATCCTCCCCACACACACACACACAATATCAACTTTTCTTTGACACCTCCCTCCATTTGACTGATTGGTAAAATCTAATACAATCAAAGAAAGATAACTACCAAAATTCCTGCTTGGAGAACTGATCTAGCTCTAATTTTAAAGACAGCCCACCAAACCACTAATGTAGGTCTCTTGAAGATGAACCCTAAGGTAAATTGTCAGAATGCCCCAAGACTGAAATACGATCTTGTGAATCCTCAAGTAATTTTTCAGAAGACCATGCAGAATGCCGGAGCGTTTATATGGTCTAAATTATTTTCATGTGGACATCAGAACAGAGCCAAAAGTATTTTTTTCCCCATCATTGAAGAAATTACTGAAGAGATATTTAAAAACAAATTGCATTTTACATAACAGAATTGGTCTTAAAGATTGATCTCTATGGTTTTTCACCTTTAGAAAATGCGATTATTCGAGTTATCGAATCAGTGCAGCTGTGATAGAATGCAACGTAAACAATATCGACCAGGGTCGCGGCTCAACAAATTAATTCATTTTACACACTCAACAGGTTCCACTGGGGTTAGACGTTTTTTCATTTCCCGCCTCCCCACCATTCTACTCCTCAGATAATAGAAAAGGAAGACAGAAGAAGAAAAAAAGGCTAAAAAAGAGGGAGAAAGTGCACACGGTGGGGCTCGGATATTAAAGGTAAAGACCAGTTTTGGAAACGCCCCCCTCTCAAAAAATGAAATGGAAGCTTTGATTACCAATCGTGTGAAAGAATATGTTTTGACTAATAATACGTGATGATACAAATATTGCCGGGAAATCGCCTAAAATTGATTTTTTTTTTTTTTTTTTTTTTTTGGGGGGGGGGGTAAATTATTATATCTATCCAGACCGGATAGATATCGCGCACGTGTCATGTAGTCCCATATATACATCTTTCTGTGTAAAGTGCTTGTATCTTTACCAAGACTGGGTCAAATTTCTTATCATTTTGATGATTTCATAACCTTGCAATACACACCAATACTTATATGCTAGATGATCAACCTTTTCTGATCGATTCCACAACGTTTCTTTCACAATTGAAATCGCATGACCAGAACTGGTATTTACCTTTAAACTATCGTATGGATCTAGTATTCCATGAGTCGTGAATTTGTCTGGTTGCAAGGGACATCTATCCAAAGCGATCCATCGTTGCCAATATTGCCAAATTAATGTTCCAAACCGAATCTCAGTACTTGTATTGCCCTTGTATATAATTTAACCGATAATTTGTTTGCACCCACAATGTTCGGATTTGCATTTGTTTTACAAACTCAGCATGTCATATAAAAGATAACTAATGTCATACTGGTTATTTGTCAACCCAGTTTGGGCCTGGCCTGGGGCACTTTTCAATGTTTATTTTTCTGAGGCAACAAAATTAAGAACACCAAAAAACTCTATACCATTGCGTTCATAGCTCCCAACGCTTAGTGTATTGCAGCGCAGGGGTGGGCGTGGGCAATGAATTTCCCGTTTTCATTTTTTTTTTTTTGTGGTCCTGAAACGGAGGGATTCGCAGACCAGTGTTTTGCCCCCTACATTGTTTCCCTCTATTATTTTCATTATTTAATTTTCGTTCTCTCATAGGGGAGCCGTGGCCGTTTTGTTCACCTTAGTTCGCGTAAGCAGAGTTTGGTGACATTATGAAAATGCCTTATCTCGCCTTTCTTTCTAAAATTGGACGACTTCCAATCACACTAGCATGCACAGGGTGACTATCAACATTAATCTATTAATACCTTGGATGCCATTTCGATGAAGTAAAATAATGTATTTAAAAAGTGATGGCTATCCACTAGGTCCTAAAGCAACTAAAACTATTACGGCTCTGTCGAAAGATCAAATAACCAGATAACAGCATGACTAAAGGATCTAGAGAGGCCTCTATATTTTTCTACATCATGTCTTTGACATTTTTTATATTTCTAGCCGCTGAATGGGACTGAAAATTGGTTCTGAAAGTTTATTGCAACCATATAAGATGCATATATCATGTGGCCCTCAGCCTACAAATCGACTGGACCTTCATCAGGCCAAAAATGAAAAGCGGCTTGTAGGCATGTTTTTTCAACTCCACACGGCCTATCTGCCCATAGATGTTTCTTTAGGATATGTGTATATTTTTTATTCTACCAATGAAAAAGGACAGGTGTTGTCAGTGGAAGCCCCTTGTAAAAAGTAAATGCCCATGCGTCTATCGAGAGAGAGAGAGAGAGAGAGAGAGAGATAGAGGGAGAGTGGGTTTGAAACCACCATGTCAACTAACCATTTTCTTCAAATTAAGAACTTCCTTGCATTATAATTTCGTTTTGGTGGTTAAATCTCAAATGACTCTGAACCTAGTATTATGCAGTTCTGCAGATATATCCAACAATTTGTTTTCAAAACGAAAAAATATTGTGCCTCAGAACTCGTCTGGAAAAAAAATCATCACTCTTTCCCATAATCATGATAGGCCTGTAAGCAGGGTCTTCTACCCATTGTCTTAAAACAATTGTTTAGGTAATTTTATGATTGTAGACGCGCAATTGCATTTTCTAAATAGATAAAACAATTTTCTCAGCTTCCCCGTCATTCTTTGAGTATCTTTCAAATTGCTATGAAAGTTATAACATGGTGTGCATCATACAGTGCGTCCGAGAAAAAACGAAACCGAGAATTATCGATGTTTTATCATAACTTAATCACAATTATAGTTAACAAGTGACACACATTTGGAAAGCTTAGATCTTCTTCTTTCATTTGATGCAACTCAAATGATTCATATCTCACGCATGAGTGATTAAAAGCAATTTGAAGGGAGGAAACCAAAAAGTCATTTGGCGGGCGGTATCTGAATTTTTAAAAGAAAATCAAATTTCTAGAAAGTTCAATTTCTGCCCTTTAAAATACACCTCAATCAGGAGAAATGAGCCAG